AAAGTGTCTGATTAAGTTGGCATGTCTATTATTTGCAATAAATCATGTTGTTTGGTGACTGTATCCTGTGTGTAGTTTATAATGGCTATAAAAGTCTCTCATTTCCTTAATAGGGGAAAAAAAAAAAAAAGTTATAAAATGTAATGGTTACTTGAATGCTTAACAGTACTTTTTTATAGAAAGGTATAAAAGTCATTGAAAAATATGACAAGGTGATTTTTAGAAATCTCTATTAAATAGAGAATACACTATGCTTTTTGGCAATTATTTTTATACAAAAACTCAAAAAGCATACTTTAGGGGAAAAAACTAAGTTAACAGAAAGATAGTACATTAACACATTATAAAACAGATAGATAACATTAACACATTTATAAATCAGATAGATAGTAGTAAAGCAAATAAAGACACTTATAAAAAAGATTAAATAAAAGTTTGACTGTATATAATAGCAAGTATATTGCATGTTTCTTATGTTAACATCAATTTCATAAAAATGATTTTATTTGCATATTTCAATGTATAATATTTATGTACATCTAAGTTTCTTCCTTTTACTTGTGCAGCTTATATTGGTGACATTTCAGAGGAATTTAATATAAAAATCCACCCCCTTAGCTGGAAGTCAAGCAACAATTAAAGCCAATTTATTTTTAAATTTTACTACATTACATTCATCAACATGTCTTTTTTGATGATATTTTTTATTACTAATCGGAACTAATTGAGGAGATACTAATATAACTGTAATTTACTTAGCAAAGCTAAGATAATGATTCCAGTATGCAAGAAAACGTAATGCAGAATGTTTAATTTAAAGGAATTAAAATCATATGCATTTTATGTTAGGTTCATCATATTGTTTGACTTGTGTAATATGATGTGCTTAATGATCATAATGCTATTAAATTGGACATGATACATTTAATTTTTTTTTAACTTTTATATACGTCCTCGCTTGGCGACAAATATTTTTGGTGAGAAACTCCATGGTGCCATAAAGCTAAAAATCCAAAACAAAAAAATTAGGTAGCAAAAACATAAAGTAATCACTCTGTACATGGGAATCTCTTGAATTGCTTTGCATTATTGATTAATCTTATCTAGCTTACATGATTACATTTTTTTTACCTAATCAGCTTTATTTTGCATTTCACTGGCTTCCATAACTTGGAATTTGCAAAGAGATGAACAAGCAGCTGGTATCATTTTTTCAAGAAAGAGATGTTCTTTATAAGTAAAGATTGTGTTCAAATGACTACCTCATGAAATTAACCGCTTCCCTTACAAATTTTTTTTGAAAAAATTGCAAAAAATCATCACATTTTTTTTATTTTATTATTAAATACAGCAAAACGAAACAAATCAAAATATGTAGGTTTTAAGTTGAATTTTTAGTTTTTTGAAGGTGTAAAAGCATTTATTTTTAATATTAGTTTACTATCCCGAGTTATCTCGGGCAAATGAAAAAAAGTTAAATATTAATCTTTGTATGATAGTTTTTGAAACAAGGGACAACACAGAGTGATACCTGACTTTCTACAGTGGTATCTGGTCTCTTTTCTTACTGGCTTACCGCTGGAATCTCTTTTACGGGAGCACAGAGTACACTGTCTCATTGGATTTGATTTTTTTTTTCCACCACCTTTTCATAATCACTATCTGAAAAATCATTGCTTTTGCTATCTTCCATCATAGCCATTATTTTTTTTCTTTCACCACCTTTTCATAATCACTATCTGAAAAATCATTGCTTTCGCTATCTTCCATCATCGCCATTATTTTATTTTTTTCCAACGCATGCATCCTTCTTTATACATTACTAATCCACAATAGTGAAATACACAATAGTACAAGAAATATACAATAGTGAAACACGCGACCAGTCCCTCCAAAAGAACCGTGCAACCAACAAAATTTGGCAAACTGCCAATCAAAGCTAAATATTTCCTTTCATTTCCTCCAGACCGAGTAAAACCGTGATAAAAGAATTTGTACTAACAAATTCTGCTTCGCCCGAGTTTTCTCGGGATAATAATTAACTGCAATATATACGAACCCGAGATAACTCGGGATAATCAGGCAAGTGGTTAAAGAGTGAATCGAAGCTGAAATGTCTGAACACAAGTGTGATTTGTGGAATTAAGCATTCCTTTCATTACTCCCATACTTAAAACATTTCCAAATCGTGTCAGGGGTTAATATCTATTGAGTTTTGCAAATCAAAGTTACTCCAGAAGAATCATAGCACAGTAGGTGATTGGAATAATTACATAAGAGAGGTATTACTTGTTATTTATATGTCTTAACATTAAAATTAATGGATGCGACAAAGTTATGGAAATTCATGAAATGTTATTTACAAAAAAAAAAAAAAAAAAAAAAAAGGGGTAGGCCACAATGGATTTTTGGAAGATTTTATTGTGAAATTAGGGTGTTCTTTTTTGTTGCTCCCATTCTTTGTTTTCTCTCAACAAGCAGCCAAAAGTATTGAAAAGAAATAAACCAAGATGCACCAATGTAACACCAAAAATGCATGAAATGTCTTTAATGGAAAAGTGCCAAAAAATCGTATTAGGCATTAATTAACATTTAAAGTAATGAAAATCTGAAAGCATGACAGAGTTTTGAAACTTGAAGCTCATTCATTAACTAATTGTATAAATTTAAATAAGCTTTTAAAATTTTAATAAGCTGAACTGAATATTGAGATGCAAAATTCAAAATTATTAATTTTCTGTATAAAATCCAATTTTTGGTTTCTGAAAAATTGTTCTGCAAAAAATGTAATATGTAAAGAGGTATTATTATTTTTTTGTTAATTTTTATAATTTATTATTCAAAATAAATAACATTATTTATTTTGAATTTTTTATTTATCAGTAATTCAATTTTTTTATTTATCAAAATTTATCATTAATTCAACAATTTGCAGCTATGCTTAGGTCTGTCTTCCTTTATATTTATTATAACATTACTGTTTAAAAAGGAATACAGTCAAAAGTCATTAATCTGGACTTGTCGGGATTTCGGCGATTCCGGATTATAGATCATCAGTTTAAATCTGGTAAGATGGCATGCCGAAATTATAAAATTAAAAATATGAAACCGTAATTTATGAAATAAAGAACAATTATGATCTAAAGGGTATCAAAATTTACCAAAAAAAAAAAAAAAAAACCTTAATATTTATTTGTTTACTTTATTAAACATTTCTTTCAATGTAAGTTGTTTTGTTTGGTACTTTTCCGTTTCACCGGCGCAAATTTCGCCAAGCACAATTTATTGGCGACAACATACAGTATACACAAAAAATATTAAAAAAATTTTAGTTCTAAGAATTCTTTTTTTTTTTTTTTTTTTGAAGGCATAAACATTTTAATATCGCTGAAAATTTTATAAAAAGCCAATAAATAAAGACAATAAATTTGTAAAAAGACATCAATTTAAGAATTTACTATGTTTTCATGGTTCAACATTCTGATTCGCCGGTTCATGTCACGTGACCCCCAAGCGATCTCATCTCACGTAAACTACTCTACAAAAATCTAATGCTCTCAGTAATTATCTACATTAATTTCAAGTTAAATCTTAATTTGGAGCACAAGTTTAAATGCAAGAAATATTTCAATTCGTACGAATAGCTTACTCAGAAATTATGTAAAACTGCAGTGCTTTACTTCGCTAATGCATTCTCATTAGAATTGATGAATTTAACCCTTGACTTTACCTTTTCTATATTTTCAGCTTCGGGTAAGCGCTGTGATTGCATCCTAATTGACTTAATTACCGAAAATGGCCTTTGACATAAAACTGAACTATCTGATAAAAATTCTATGTAATTATATGCCAGTATTGAAAGAAACAATCAATCTGATAAGAAAAGCTGCGACTTGTTTTCAAAAATGAGGCGTAAAAGGTTACCAGCGAGAATATTCCGTTTGGCATCGGTTGTACCATTATTGGCGACTTTATCGCTTGTGTCGGCAAAACGGAAAAAGTACCTTTCGTTTTTTATGTGATGATACATTCTCTTTAATTCTATAAACAGACAGAATTTCTTATTCAGTCACAAAGTTCCGCTATTCAAGTCCTATAATTGCTGTGTCGAGAATACCGACTAATTTGTCGATCGAAATTTTTTCGTTTTCAATAACCTCTGTCACTTTCTTCGCTATCGGAAGCGAATTATAATGATGAGGAATTTGATTTAAATCATATCAAAGACAGAGTACATCGAGATGAAATAATGCATTTAGTAAGGAATTATAAGCCAAATAAAATGAAAACATCTGCCCTGAAGATAAGGATAGTGCTGACGGATCAACTTCCAATTCATTGCATGCCGCAGCGTTAAAGATAAACAAAGTTTAGATAAACAAACGTTAAAGTTTAGATAAACAAAGGATATGCCTTTATTCATTTTTTGCAGCCATTCCACATTTTGTTTAATGGACTTCGAAACACACTTTTGCTTTGTAGATCCTTTACATAATAGTAAATATATATCAGAAATTCTATTTGACATAATTGAAAGTTCAAGCTTACTTTTATAAAATTGCTCTAACAGTCTGCAAAAAATAATAAGCCGAATCCAATTCGAAGGTTAAGGAACAACGCAATCTGCAACATTAACTGAATTAGATAATTTTAGCTTAGCTTATACCATCCGTTATACATTAAACGCACATTCGTAAACATATTTTGCGCACATGTATATTCGCAGCCGTAAAGGTCTTACGCGCATGCGCAGAAAGTTTGTAGCTTTGAGGTCTGGATTATGATTTTTAAGGCATTAATTTTATGAAAGGCAGGAAAACATATGCCTAAAGGTAGTTCACATTCGTAAGTAATCATTTACATTTAGATTCACATTAAAATGTAATGTTACTTAAATTTAAGATTTGAGTTATAATTATAGTTTAGATTTGAGATGTTAGTGTCATCTTTTGTATATTTCTAAATGCTTTATGTCTCTATGTTTATTGCATTTTGTAGGAATTACACTATGGCTGATATGGATAAGTCTGAAACACATAAGGCCCATCGAGTGGCCCACAGTGGCCGCAAAGCAAAGAAGAAAGATGCCAAAAAGAAAAAGCATCATGAGCAAGATTTGACGGCAAGGCAAAGAAATCCGAAAGCTTTTGCCATTCAGTCAGCTACGAAAGCTGAAAGGATGTTTCGCAGGTAAACTGTGCTCCGTAATAGCCAAACTAGCGTTTTATTTTAAAAGTCTTCTTTTGGACCATTGACAATTATTAAACTATTTTTAACTTTAAGGTATATTTTATAACTTTTTACTTGTACAATATTTGCATTAAATTTTTGTGGAATTTTATAATTATTGCATTAAATATCTACTGCTGTTCACTTCTGTTATCTTTCTCATCCTATAAAATAAACTATTTTATTATTTAATATATTTTTATTAATGAAAATCATTTCAGGACAATGGATATAAAGAGCAAGGGTTACAAAATGCCTACTGTTGATCGTATGCCTGAAAATCCTCCACCTGCTGTTGTAGCCATTGTTGGACCTCCTAAAGTAGGCAAGACCAGTCTACTAAAAGGCTTAATAAAAAATTTTACTAAACAGAAGATAACTTCCATTCAGGGCCCTGTTACTTTAGTATCTGGTAATAAAAATTTTTGTGTAAAGAACATTTACTGAGTGTGTATTGAATTGTAACTACCTTTTGAATGCTTTGTTCATCCTACTGAGGCACTAGGACTACTGAGGATGTTTGTCTTTAATTCTGGCTAAGTATGCAACAGCTGTCAGTTAGTAGGATGACCTTGAGATGAGGCATGGTTCTCATTAGATGCTGATGTGCATCCAAGAGGATCTGACCTCATATATATTAGGTAGCAATCTATAATGAATCAATGGATGTTGGAGCAAGGTCCTTGATTCAAAAGCTGTGTTCTAAAATACTTAGTTTCTACACATAGATGTTACATGACACTGAGATGAGAAAATTATATTCATCTGTATCAGCATTTCATAAACTGTGGATTGTAACTTTAAATGGGGTAATAATGCGAAATGTTAGGATCACGAAAATGTAATTCAAGTATGTGAATTGAAAGAAGTGTTAATCCCTTCATTATCTTTAATTTAATATATTACATTTTCTGTACAGTGCAGCTACAAAATTGTAATACTTGTCAATTTCAGTTGTGTATCATGTTTAAATACTGAAAAATACCATTAAGCATATTGTAATAGTTGTCCTGCTTTGCGATTTAAATGTATAAGTTATTTCAGAATCAAAATCTGTCACAAATGCACAGCATGTTGTAAGGATTTATATATTAAGGTTTTATTAAAAGAAGAGTATTTGTAAGAATAGAGTGGAAAATTATTCATTAGAAACGTTTTCAACTATCAGCAGTTTTGTAACTGATGAAATTTAATAGCAAAATTTATTAGAGATCACTTGAAAACTGTAGAAACACAGTTTTCTTGGATCAAAATTAACTTTAGCATCAGTGAGATTAATCACTTGTCATAAAGCCCAGGAGGAATTTGTTGAACTGTTGACTAACAATGTCAAATATTGCACCAAGATTTAATTTGCCATGCAGTTATACAGTATATCTATCTCATTAAAATGGGATTTTCTTCTGTTAATTTAACTAATACTTGAAACAAATCTTAAACTGCTTCTTACCATATGTATATTGCTTACCAAAGAAATATATTATTTATGGGAAAATATTTGTATTTTTATCTTTATTCTATATTTAACACTTGAGGTTCTGAAAAAGTCTTGATGATAAAAAAGGGTCATTAATGGAAAAAAAATAAGAAGCACTTGTCTGTATGGTGCATCTCTGCAGAATATTTCTATAGCCAATTAAACGTAATATTTTCTCAGTATCTCTGTACATTGTAATCATGGAAAATACTAGATTCAGTTAAATCGAAATGTTGCATCATAGTCTTTGCACCTTATAATATGCAAAAAATATCATGTGGGGGTCTATAGTGATCCTAGATAATGCAACAGAAATATTTTCCTACTATTTGTACAATATTCTCTTTGCACAAATGATCCACAGGTTCATACTGGTACAAAATATTGTGCTATATCTGTGAAGCATGGACATGTTCCTATCTGTTTGGTACAGCAGACATTTCAGTTTACTGAAGTGAAAGTTCCTTTTCTGAATGTCAACTGTTCAGTTAACATAATTGTGAGCCCAAACTAAGTGAAGCAGGTTATGATGTTTCATTAGGAATGGGTGACTTGCGAGGCATTTGTTTTGGAAGTTTATATATATGCTTGTTTGTGCCACATACATAATCATATTAGGATAAGGGTAATGAATTTCCATAGTTTCATACTACCTGCAACTTCTAAATGCTGATTTGATAGAAAGGTTTTCAAAACTAATGCTATGTTCAGATTTGTAAAGCTCTGTATTTTATGCTTGTTTCTCATTCTAATGTTTTAATGCATACTGGGACTTTATTAAATGGGCATAATGAGCGTTGTTCTTGTTAGTAGCCATTGTTCCATGTTTTTTTCTTTTACTGTTCCGTATTGACTACTAGATTGGATGCATCTGACACCAGTTATACTGCCTGAGTTATTGAGGCTTTCAGGCGTAGGTATCCATAATCATACTCATTTGAGAAGTCATTAATCATTACCATCTCCTATTTCTATGTGTGCTGTGAGATTAAAACATAATCATGCTTCTTTTCTAATGGCCTTAGCACCGTTAACTGTACTTGCTTAATATAATTTCCATTGCAGGTAATATCTTTTGCATTATGAAGAGGTAGTTGCAATTCAGTAAATGCTATGTATATTTTATGTTGTGTTATTGTATCTGCATTAAGAAGTATAATCATAATAACTTTCATGTAATAACTGTTGCTTGCTAGTTATTATTTTGCATGCATTGTTTCAGTGAGATATATCAAGTCATGAAACACAGTTTACTGATATGTTGTTATAGTTACTGATATATTGTTATGTTGAAATTTTTAGGTAGAAAGAAGCGGGTTACTTTTATAGAATGCAACAATGATATAAATAACATGATTGATATTGCTAAAATTGCTGATATGGTGAGATATACTTTATTTTTTTTTTTTATTTCAATACCTCTTTAAATTATATTACAACAATTCTTTTATCCTTTTTGATATGTATGAAAAACTCTTCCATGTATATAATAATAATTACAATGTTATATTGTAGCAATCTTTTATTAATTTTGATATACATGTAAAATGCCCACACACATATATTTAATAATAATAACAATGCCATAGAAATTATTGATCAACCTTCACTAAATAGAAAGTAAATCGCTTCTGTAAAATGAATTCATAGATTCATCTGTATTTTTTGGTAAAGGATATAGTTTTATTGTATTTGCTGTTGATGAAAGTTTTGTGAATTTATGCATAAAATGCAGGCTACTGTTTTAACTCTGAAACAGATGTTACTTTGGAATGTTTTCGTTTTATGTGCAAAATGCTTTTCTATGATTTGGGCTGCTTAGTTAATAAGTACAATGTATAAAGTTTAGTGAATCTTGTTTAGGTTGTTTAATTGGTACAATATATAAAGTTTCATAAATCATCTTTAAACATCTCACACATGATATTGGACAGCTGTAGTTGTAATTACTAATTGAAGATTTCTGCTACTTAACACTATTATGGTGAAAGTATATGCATTGATGCCTAGGCTAGGGATAAGCTAGTAGTGTTCTTAATTGCTAACAGTAATTATGGCTTGATAGTAACAATGGTTGATCTTTGGTTAAAAGTCATAAATCCAAGAATCAAGAAAGATGTATGTAATTATTTTAAATGAGTTTAAGCAGAATAATCAGTGAGTGATGATGTGATTATAGCATATGAGGAGAGAATAGCTATTGAATGGCTGTGTTAATATGTAAAATTTTAGGCTGTTCAGTTGTATGGGTAGCACCCTAACTTGTGTAATACTAACTTCTTATTAGACTTCAGATCCTATTAGACTGCCAAGTGAGTTATCACTATGTTTGAAAATGTGCAACAGAATCTTATAAAGGATTTAAATAAAATTTAATTTAAGCTTGAATTTATAAATATCTCTCGGATTTGAGATTTAATATAGTGATATATTTTATTAACTTAATTTTTTGAATTTTTTCTTGAATTGTTGCTAAGGGATAACTGATATATTTTGTTAGTAGCCCAGAAGGGCTGTTAGTCTCGAAATTGCAGTTTGTGTCGAATCATTATAAATGGCTATATAATTTTTCATATTGTTGCCACCAAATATTATTGACCTGTGTTATATTTAAAGCAATTAAATAATGAAAAATCTTCATGAATGTATGTATTTTTCTCACATTGTGAAAAAAACAACAATATCTAGAGTCATCAAATTTTTAATAATGCACTCCTCCACTCGAATATGGGCACCTGGAAGCCCAAATCTTGAATTTCAAATTTGATTTATTATCTATTTCATATTTTTTAATCTTTAGATTAAGAAACTTGGTGATTTTGAAGTGAGTAGTGGCAACACACTGTAAGGAATAAAAGGGACATTAAATTAACATTTGACCCAAAGATTTCACCCCAAGCAAAGCCTGCACTAGGAACACAGAAAGCATGGAATAGCTGCGAGCAATTAATCAATCATAGCTTCCGGACAGCCAATGTGGTGCCTTTTTGACATGATAGGAATATGAACCTTCTCCACCTGCCCACCTGTAGTCTGATGAACTACATCATTCGTGCCACCCATGGCATCTTTCTCCAGAAGTCTTAAATGGGCCCAAATAGCTGTGCCAATTGAACAAAGCTAAACAGAATCACAATCACATTAATGCTATGGGCTCAAAACACTGTACAAGTCGCCCCTATTCATTAGCATACAGATGCTGGGGTAGTATGTGGAATATCTGCTCAGCAATTCAGCCTAGCACATAGGAGCTCTTTTTCACTGGTGGTAGAGAATTCCTCTCCTATGTCACAGCCTCAGGTTCTGTACCTCAAGGCCACTGTGGTCTGTTGCACCATGCTTCTGATTTCAACCTATAGATTTCAGCATGAGCAAAGCCTCCACTAAAAACACAGAAAGCGCAGAATAACTATAAGCAATAAATCAACCATCGTTCCGCTGACTGCCACAAGATGAAGTAAGTCAGCAAAATTTGAGATGCAGATTATCTGTTTTCAAGCGCCTTGGAGACTTCTTCCCTAAATTACATGCTTCAGAGTTAAAAGCTAAATTCTTTGTCAATTGTCAGGAAAAAAAAGATTGTGAAATCTGAAGAATTCCTCTGAAAGTTTACTGGTTAAAAAAAAAAAAAAAAAAAAGCTTGAGACAGCTTTGCGGATAAAGTGATTTGCAAAGAATTTCAAAGAAAGTTTGTTTCATGATAAGGCATGAAAGATATTGCCAAATATACTTAAAATGTACTTCAGATTTATTAAATAGTTTAATTTGTTTCATTAATTATTTAAAAATGTTTATGCCCATACAATTTTTTATCCCAACAACACGCTGTCCAGAAACTTATGTTCAGATAGTGATATTATAATTGAATAGGATGTTTCATTGTTATTGCATATTTACTGCCTTCACATTTTATAATTAACTAATGTAATGTAATAACTTCTGTTTCATTTTATTTATGTTCAGGTTTTGGTTTTAAAGTTACTTCCTGAAAATGCACACATTATCTTAACTTATTAAGAAATTATTGAAAATTTGTGTAATAATTTTTAGGTGTTATTATTAATTGATGCTAAGTCAGGTTTTGAAATGGAGACATTTGAATTCATGAATATTTGTCAAGTCCATGGAATGCCTCGTTTAATGGGAGTTTTAACACACCTTGATCTGTTCAAAAATAAAAAAGCCTTGCAAAGTGCGAAAAAAACATTAAAGAGACGTTTCCGTGCAGAAATACCACTAGTGAGTACTTTAATTTTTGTTATATTGTTTACAGAGCATTAATATTCATAAGCAGCTATTTAATATAATATTGTTATTGAAATAGTAAGTAGAAGTCTTTTATTTATTTTCACAGTTATAAATACATTTGAATTTTTCTCCCTCCATTCAGATTAATAAATGTTTAATGCATCCAAAATATATTAAATAAGTCTGTTGCATTTACTATTTTTTTTCATACATTACTGAGTCATTTAAGTGCTTTGGAATAAAATACAGTACAAAGTCCGAGATCTGGACTTCCGTGCTTCCGGATTTGGAATTTTTCCGGATATTCCAAATCCAACTAACTTATCACTAACAAACAGCTAACTCCAACTAACTTGTCAATCGAAATTTTTATGCTTTCAGTAACCTCTCTTCACTATTTATTGGTAGCGGTGTTTTCTGAATCTAGAACCAACCATACTTCAGATTTCGCCATCCATTAATTGATTGATGATCGAGAAGCATTATCTTCACAATGAAAATCTTCTTTTATATTATCAGTTTAAATCTAGTAAAATGGCATGTAGAAATAATAAAATTAAAAATGTGAAATCGTGATTTATGAAATAATGCAGTATTTATGATCTAAAGGGTATCAAAATTTAGAAGAAAAAAAAAGCTTAATATTCATTTGTTTACTTTATTAAACATTTCTTTCAAGTTGTTTAACCCTCTCGCTGCGCATCCTGTGATTTCCACGGGCAACATAAAAGTACAAAATTTGTGCAACCCGCAATTTCCGCAGGGATGAATTTTTGCCATCTGTTTAACTGTGCAACCTGCTCTTTCTCCGTTCAAGGTTTCCTTTCAGGTTTTCTGTGATGTTTAATTGTTTATTTAGATGTGGGCTAACAGATGGCGTTAGTTGTCCACATTTCTGCCAAATATACAAGAATACGTAATGTAGCATTTTGTGCGCGTTTTTCAGAGCTCAAAGATGTCTGGCAGGAAGCGTTTCGCGAGTGATATAACCTATATTTCTGACACTGATAGTAGTTTTGACTCTGATTTCAAGTATATTGAAGGTAGTTATAGCGAAACTGATAAGAATTTCTCGGATTCCTCTGCAGATAGTGATGAATCTGAAAATTCAGTTTCTATTGAAAACGTTCGACAGTGGTGCAAAATTGTTATGAAAAATATTACATTATGCATATATTTTCATTAGTATATATGTTTTGCAATTAAGACACAATAACGCACCGAACAAATACGAATTCAGAAGTCAAACAACAAAAATCAGCGTAATATATTCAAATTTTCACAGGAGTAGTTTCGATATTTTTACCGAACCACCATCCTCAGCTGCAAAAATGCAAATGAACGAGATAGAATACAATGATCAGATAAGATAAGAAAGTCTGGACAGAAAATAAGCTAGTGGTGCGATCTGTTGGTGAAACCAGAACTAAAACATAATTTTTTTAAAGGCAGAAGGCAAAGATGGATAGGAATTAGGATCGTTAACTGGATTTTCTAGAGGCATTTCACATTCAAAAAAATCTTTCTACTATAGCTGATTTTTGTTGTTTGAATTCATATATGTTTTACCTTTGTGTTTTATAAAATAAATCATAATTTAACCAATATTAATTTTCAAAATTTTCCTTTTGTATCATTTTTTTTTTCAATTTCAGTATTCTGACAACCTTTTTCTATGATCTAATTCTATATTGGAAAAAAATCTCTTTTACAAAAATTTTTTGTATATTTTAACTCTAAAATATATGTAGTTTTGAAATATGTAATAAAAAAATCCTTGATAATTTTTGAACCTATTTTGATAAAAAAAAAAATACTAAGTCAGAGGGTTCAGTTGCTTCGTTTTTTGTGCTAATACTTTCTCTTTAATTCTATGGACAGACATAATTTCTTGTTCAAACTTCCATTGTTGAAATTCTGTAATTGCCATGTCCAGAACTCCAACTAACTTGTCAAAATATTTACACTTTTGGTAACCTCTCTTCACTATTTATTGGTAGCGGTATTTTCTGAATCTAGAACCAACCATACTACAGATTTTGCCATCCATTAATTGATTGATGATTGAGGAGCATTATCTTCACAATGAAAATCTTCTTTTATATCATCTTCATTTATTACCACTTCTCCACATTTCTTTATAAAATCCATGAATTAGAAAATTTGCGATATCCAAAAACCTTCAGATGCGTGGCCATCATGATAAAAATTTAGCTATAATTCACTATACATATTTGGCTATTATTATGAGATTGGCGACTAAAGGCAAGTTGTTCTGCTATATTTTATCTTGCTTCTGTCACGCACTGAGATGATTAAGCCTGAATTTTGTAATTAGTTTAGTTATTTATTATACTTATGCCTATTCCTTACACATGCTTAAGGCTTATCTGAGTCCTAAATAAATAAATTCCCACATCTACTTTAAGGCTTATTGGGGGCCGGTGCTAGAAATCTTACCACCTGATGTAGTCTCTGCGGGTCCTAAATTCTGCTACCAAGCACTTCCCTTTGCCTTCCTTAAATTCTGCCTTTCGATGTGGCCATACAAGCACTGGCGCTGGTTCTGGGTTTATGTGAATAACAAATCAGTTATTCTTAATTCAAATAGCCTTAAATGTAATCTTTTGGTTTGCCTATGAGTATAATTAACAACATTTATTCTTAGCATATGGAAAGAAATTTTTGTTAGATGTTCCCTGTCAACATAAAAGATTACCATACTCTTTATTATTCAATTACCAATATATATATAAAAAAAAATTGTTTAGGCATTGCTACATGAATCATTACTCAAGTTGTCATGTGTTGATAAACATGTGGTGAGGAAAGCAAAATATAATAAATAATGATTTGCCAGGTTGTCATCAAGGATATAAAATATTGTAGTTGTAAAATTAACGATGTATCTATATAGAATGTTTCAGTTTGAGATATATGCCAAGTAGATACACAGCTACGGAGCCAAATTATTGATCAAACAAATCTAAAATGACTGATTCTTCAATAGCGAGGTATTTTATTTAGTACTGAAGTGAAATTAAGAATTGGGACTCTCCACATGCATGTGTGTGTGTGTGTGTGGAGGGGGGGGGTAAAATGCATATGTGTAAAGCATATACATGCAAAAATTAAATAAATAAAATAAAAATTAATAAATAAATTTAAAAAAAAAGGTGGTGATAGCTTTGGAGGTCCGGATTTTAGATCATTCCGAATATTGGATGTCCGGATCTCGGACTTTGTACTGTAGTAAAACTTTAGAACTGTTTGAATGCCATATATTCAGGGTGCACCAATAATCATTGCTGTTAACATAAATAAGAAAGATAGATGACGATATGTCTCCTTGATAATTTTATTTGATTGTTAAACTTCTGGAAATTATTTATTTTCATGAAACCAAGCTATTTCACAAAATAAATTATATTTATATTACAGGCTGAAAAGATGTTCTATCTGTCAGGTATGCTACATGGAGAATACCTGAGAAAAGAAATGCATAATGTAGGACGTTTTATTTCTGTGATGAAATTTGAATTGTCTTCATATAGAAAATCTCATCCGTATGTTTTAGTTGATAGGTAAGGTATAATTTTGACATTTAATTATGGTGAAATACACATAAGAAAGTTAACTTATACTTAGTTATATAGTAAAAAAAATATATCTTTTTTAAAATTAAATTACTATCTTGTACAGAATGGAAGATATCACTGATCCAGAGCTGTTAGTAAATAATCCAGTTGCCAATCGCAAGGTTTGTTTATATGGTTATGCCAGAGGCGGGGCTTTGAAAAAAAACTCTCCTTTTCATATTCCAGGTAACTGAAAGTTTTTATTTTATCTTTCATTAAAATTTAAACAATTGAATTACAATGTTTTATTATCAAATATAAGTTTGTTCTTATAATTAAATATCGCAGTTTTTGCATAGAGAAAATGGAACATTGTTAAAAATTGCGCTATCTTTCTTATAGAAGAATCCACTTTCTAATTAATAAAAATTTTGATTTTAAGTTAGATAATAGCATTTAAGCAGGGGTTCTCAACCAGAGAAACATAGTTTTGAGGAGGATTGCGGTCACCCTTTTATTTTTCTATTAAGTACTAGGTGGTTATAATTAAAGTTGCACTTTGAAATGGTCATAAAAGGAAAACTATTGGACCAAATGTTATCAAATGTGGTAATTGTGTAAAGGAGGTAATGGAAATTTATTTCCCGCAGAAGAAAAAAAAAAAAAAAAAAGAAGTTAAAAAACTCACCACTAGGGGGGAAATGGTGCTGTATGCAATACTGTTAAATGAGGTAAGGGTCAAAATCTAACTTAACCTTTTGTTACACTGGTTTAACATGTTGTATACCCTTAAGAGACATTGACCTAAACAAAATTACCATTTAAAGGTGATAAAAGTCGAGTGCACCATCTGCGTAACAGAGAAATTCATGGGTAAAAACCACAGATTAGTGATTAGAAAATGTGAGATCACAAATCACTCGTAAAAGTGTGTGCATTCTGGAAATCATTTTCTTACAGATTGTAGCATTGCGTGCCTCCAACTTGCACGCAACCAAGAGGTGACTGTGAAAACTGTATAAAAGACAGAGTCTTGTTAAGGGTTTAAGTCCCTTTTTATTCAACGTAATAAATTACAAGTGCGTGCTCTTGATGCTCACAAACTGCGCCAACTCGGCGGTCAAATAAAAATAATAACCTGAAAAGAAACTAAAGACAAGACTCTAACTATGAGGCTCTCTAAAAGTAACTAACCTCACCGCATTTTACAATACCGCTGCTAATTCAGCAAACTTGAAGATCACGTTGAACGATTAACACTACTTCCAGGCAAGCACACAGGCCGAAACGGGGGTTTCTTCAATTTCTGGCCAACTACCTCCGCGCTCGTGAAGTAAGAATATCACACGCTCGAACTCGTTTCCTTTCTATTTAAATCAGAATACTTCCGCTGATAATTTGAATCCTTGCGCATTCTACTAAAATTTACATACTCTGGCATTGGCAGTTCCAGGGGAAAGTAAGGCTTGACAGGAAAGATAGTTTAAACTTAAAATAAATGTTAGTTAAAATAAATATAAACCCTACAAGATCATTAATTTGTGATTTTTGAAGCCTGAATTTGACCTTAATGAAGATATCAGTTTAAAACCTTTTTAATCATTTCTAAAATGAAACTTTTTGTGGGGTGAGGAAAAACCACAATGGCTTGTAATTGGCACGGAAGGAAGAATCAAATGATTTATGCAAATAATCTAAACAATTTGGCCTAATTGAAAGATGCAATACAACGACATGTCCGTAACATTTCTTCAGATATGCTAAGAGCAGCTGTTGAGAATGCAGTAATACAATTTAACTTGCTTTGAGAAAATGGTGGACGCCACACTGAACAAGCTTTGTAACATGTTTCAGAAATGATTAAACACATTTTAAACCAATGTTTTTATGTCTTATTTCATTTAACAATATTGCATACAGTGCTATTTCTCCCTGATGGTAAGATTTTAAACTTTTTTTGTTATCATGGAAAATAAATTCCCATGACCTCCTTTTCAAAATTACCAAGTTTGATAACATTTGGTCCTGTAGTTTTCCTTTTATGACCATTTCAAAGTGGAACTTTAATTATAGCCACCCTATATTTAGTTTTGGTTTATGAATACAGTCAAAAGTCGTTAATCCGGACTCGTCGGGACTTCGGCGATTCCGGATTATTGATTTTTCCGGATTATAGATCATCAGTTTAAATCTCCATCAGTTAAAGGTGGCATGCAGAAATTCTAAAATTAAAAATATGAAACCGTAATTTATGAAATAAAGAACAATTATGATCTAAAGGGTATCAAAATTTACAAAAAAAAAAAAAAAAGCTTAATATTTATTTGTTTACTTTATTAAACATTTCTTTCAATGTAAGTTGTTTAAGTTGCTTCGTTTTATGTGATAATACTTTCTCTTTAATTCTATAAACAGACATAATTTCTTGTTCAGTTCAAAGTTCCGCTGTTCAAGTCCCATTAATTGTTGAGCCGAGAATACCGACTAACTTGTCAATCAAAATTTTTTTGTTTTCACTAACCTGTCTGTCACATTCTTCATATCTTTATCCATTTTTTGCAGCAATTCCACTTTTTGTTTGACAGACATCGAAACATACTTTCGTTTTGTAGATCCTTTGGAAGTTCCAGCATTGGAAATTCTATTTGACATAATCGAAAGTTCAAGTTTACTTTCATAATATTGCTCTTACAGTCTGCAAAAAATAATAAGCCGGATACAATTCAAAGATTAAGGAACAACGCAATCATCAACATTAACTGAAATAGATAATTAGATAATTTTGTCTTATACTGTCCGTTATACATAAAAGGCACACGCGAAAACGTATTCTGCGCTTGCGCACATGCATACGCGCAGTCGTAAAAGGTCTTACGCGAACGCATAAATGCCTATGCGCATGTGTCAATGCGGCGCATGCGCAGAAAGTTTTTAGCTTTGAGGTCCGGATTATAGATCATTCTGGATTATGGGTGTCCGAATTAACGACTTTTGACTGTATAAAAAATAACTCAAGTTTTGATATTTACCATCATTTTCTATACTGTTATAAACACTATAAACACATTAAAATTAATCTAAATTTAAATAAAATGTATACAGTACAAAGTCCATAGTCCGGACGTCCATTATCCGGAATGATCTATAATACGGATCTCAAAGTCACAAACTTTTTTTTTGTATGCTTTACACATGCACGTTTAATGTATAACGGACAGTATAAGCTAGGCTAAAATTATCTTTACTGATTCTAAGGCATTTCAGTTAATGTTGCAGATTGCGCTGTTCCTTAATCTTCTAATTGGATCCGGCTTATTATTTTTTGTAGACTGTTAGAGCAATTTTATAAAAATTAAGCTTGAACTTTCGATTATGTCAAAAAGAGTTTCCAATTCTGGAGCTGCGAAAGGATCTACAAAGCGAAAGCATGTTTTGATGTACCGCTTCTGATAGTCAAGGTCAGAGAGGTTAGTGAAAACGAAAAAATTTTGATTGACAAGTTAGTCGGTATTCGCGGCACAGCAATTACAGGACTTGAACAGCGGAACTTTGTAACCGAACAAAAAATTATGTCTGTTTATAGAATTAAAGAGAAAGTATTAGCACATAAAATAAAGCAACTTAAACAGCTTACATTGAAAGAAATGTTTAATAAAGTAACCAAATAAATAATAAGCTTTTTGTTTTGTAAATTTCGATACCCTTTAAATCATAATTGCTCTTTATTTCATAAATTACGGTTTCATATTTTTAATTGTATAATTTCTGCATGCCATTTTACCAGTTTTAAATCGATGATCTGTAATCCAGAAAAGCCCCTAATCCGGAATCGCCAAAGTCCCGACGAGTCTAGATTATGGACTTTGTACTTTATTTTTCAGAGGGAGAGGGAATGGTTTGGTTTGGTTTATGTGACTACAGCAAAGCCTCGAGGCTATCTGCAAAAGGGGAGGCATGTCTTCGTGGAGGATTAAGGAAAGCTGGCTCATATCCATGTCACATATGAAGAAAACAATGAAACACCCATGCAACCAACCTATTCGCTGGATTTGAACCTTGGACTGAATTACCAGTGTTCAGTGATTTTACCTCTGGGCCACTGGTGGGCAGAGGAGCATTGATCATCTAGTAATGCTGAAAGGGACGCATGGGGCAAAAAAGGTTGAGGACTACAGCAGTAGAGCCTGCTTAAAAATTTCTTGAAAAGAAGTTCCCTCTTGTTAATATTTATCTTATCAAGACACATTTCCCTATAAATACACTGGTTATCATAAATTAAGGAAAAATCATGATTACTGAAAAACTTACATGTAGAATTTAATGAAACTTACCCACAATATACAACACATAGTAAGGTATCAAACACATAAAAAGAAATTACCAGACAAATATGGTAATATAGAAATTAGCACATGTATAAGATGAGCAAATCGAAGGTGTCAGTTTGCTACAGGAAAAGTACCTTCAATATGGAATATGATCGCCTCTAGAAGCAATACAGCACATACAGCGATGTGTGATGCTCTCAATTATGCGGTCCATAGGAAGTGAGAGCCATTGCTCTTGCAAAGCAGTTGCAAGCGCGACAATAGTCTGAGGGGGCGGATTGAGAGCAGCTAGACATCTCCCTAAAGCATCCCAAACGTGCTCGATAGGATTCAAGTCCGGGGATCGAGCTGGCTACTCCATGCGCATAATTGTTTCCTGTTGAAGATAATCATTTACGATGCGAGCCCGGTGTGGTCTTGCGTTGTCGTCCTGTAACAGGAAAGCATCACCTATTGGCCCGGCATATGGGTGCACATAAACATCAAGGATGTCATCTCTATAAATCTGAGCATTCACAGTTCCCCTTGGAAAGACATGGAGGTCTGTGCATCCACCCAAAGAGATGCCACGCCAAACACAGACACTGCCCCTTCCGTATGCATCTCTTTCACGGATGTTTGATGGATGATAATGGGTTCTAGGTTCTCTCCATATCAAATAACGCATACTATCGCTTTCTAGACTAAACCTGGACTCATCCGTAAAGAGAACCGCCCTACATTGATCAGACGTCCAGTGTACATGTTGTCGGGCCAACTGAAAACGGTTCCTCCTATGGCGTGACGTGACAGATGTTGCAGGTGATTGTGTTCCTTTCATGTTAGTTGTGAAATTGTAACTGTTTAAATGTCAAGCAAAGATATTACTGGAGCAATTATTACTCGCGTATAATTAGAGTATGTCATTTGACACCTTTTAATGCTCAAATGTTTGGTTAAAAACTCTTGGATTAAAACTTGTGTCACAATGCATTTGAAATAGCTACATTTATTACCACAAAATACGAGGTAGGATTCAAAAGTTCCCAGACTGAGTCTATAACGTAAAAAATATTATGAATTAAACTGCAGAAACATATCCTCCTTCGAAATAAGACCCTTGTGCAACAATACACTTTTGCCAGCACCTGTAAAGTTCATCAAAGCATGTCTGGAATTTGGCCATATCCTTTAATTCAGCCTGCGATGCACATTTAACTTCATCTGAAGATTGAAATTGACGATCCTGCAAGCGTCTTGCCAGTTCAGAAAATAAGAAGATGATGCTAAAACAAAGTTTAAAGTTTAAAGAAATTAAACATTTAGCAGTAGTAGCAATGAAAGCTCCCTGAGATATGTTGTGCAGACATTGAAGACAATAAAAGATTTTGAACTTAACTAATTTATTAACAATATAATAAAGAATAAAAGCACACAAAAATAAATGTCAATAATATCAGAGTCTTAGGAAAAATATAATATAATCATCATTCATCAAATATTTTTACCTGTACTCCAAAACACTGGCATTCTATACAAACAAAAAATGTCCTAAACAGTGACTATGCGGCCTAAAAATAAAGCTGGCTACCCATTCAATAAGTCCATAATCAATGGTCAAGAAAAACACCTGAAAATTTAAATGAAGTTCTTGAAAACACTTAAAACCGGCCTAACTCCGTTTGCACAAGGAATCGTCGCCGCTCACGTATTTTTAATTCCGCCTTCATTGAAGAAACATGGATGCCGCCCACGGCAGTCACTCACATGGTAGCCGAAGAACTTTATTCTGGAACCATCATCTCGCAAACCAAAACCAATGCACTTTAATCACCGGACTGCATCCATTCTTCTGAAGGGGCTGGAAACCGCTCACTCAAATACTGGGAAAGCAGGAACTAAAAAGGGTTGAGCCAGAGCGATGCGAGATACTTATAGCAGAAGTAGGAATGACGTCATCTCACGGCAACCAATCAGCTATCGGCACGAATCGGCTTTTCAGATGACGTAACATCATGTTTCGTTTTTGCATCTCAATTAGGTTGAAACAGTCCGTTCTCAATGCAAACAGTGGCAGCAAGAAAAAGAAGTAGAAGTAACTACTATATTACATTAAAATAAGGACTAAACTAAATAAACATTTCAAGGAGGAGAGATGATGCAGTAAAAGGTTTAAAAATAAGCTATATTTTCCAACAGAAGAAATTGCAGGGTGCGAGATCAGGGTGAGTAAGGAGGATGATGCAAAACAGTTGTTTTCATTTTCGCAAGAAAGTCGTTGATGAGTAGGTATTGGTGAGCAGGAGCGTTGTCATGCAACAGCACCCATGACTGCTCAGCCCAAATTTTTGAACTCTTCTTCTCGATTGACTCACGCAAATGACGCAGGACTTTGACGTAAAGTTCTTTGTTCATTGTGCATCCTTCAGGGATAAATTTCAGATGCACAATGCCCTGGATATCAAAGAATACCTGTAGCGTGACCTTTCCTTTAGTGCGATCTTGGCAGAATTTCTGCTTCCATGGAGAGTGGTGATTTCCATGTAACCGATGCCCTCTTGGTTTGAGGGTTGTACAAAAAACACCATTTCTAGTCTCCAGTAATTCTGCCAAGTAGGGAGAGATCTTTATCAACAGTCAAGATTAAGTCTCCTGCCATTTCCATTCGAATTCCCTTTTGGTCTACATTTAACATGCGAGGAACGATGTGTTGACACACCCTATGCATGTTAAGATCCTTAGTCAGTATCCACTGACATGTGTCTCTGATATCCTAACTGATTCTGCTATTTGGCAAATTGTTTGCTGCCTGTACACATGCTTCCATACACATGCTTCAACATTTCAAAGAACAAAAAATTTTATATTGATTCTCTGCTCAACTGATGCTATTTCTTTCTATCGCCGATTACTAAATGCACCTCCCTACACAAAAAGCTGTTGCCACAAGCTTTCGACCGCATGATTTGGGACAAACCACTTTTAGAAAGGGGGAGAACATAGTAACACAAAAACACTCTCATAGTCGCACCACTGCAAAAAATTTTTACCTTATAGACTCAGTCCGGGAACTTTTGAATCCTACAATGTATATCTGATATTTTACTTTTTTTGGGAGAGGGGGAGGTAAATTTTCCGAAGTTTTCTTTTTCCTAATCTATTTTTATTTAAAAAAAGTAGATGTAATGTAAAAAAAGGTCACAATTTCATTTATTTTTCATTAGAGGATTTCTGTTTAAGAATTTAATTTTTTTTTTTCATTTGAAATAATATTAATTTTCCTGAGGAGTCCTTCATTTGCATCTTCAACATTGCAACTACTAATTAGTGCTTAGTTTATAATGAATTAGTGCTTAGATTATAATGAAATATCTTCCTGTGTCTCCACTTGTCTTGAATTTCCCAAGCTGATTGAAATAGTTCCCATGAAAAGAAAATTTGATGCTTTTTAGTTATGTTCTGTGAGAATCACGGACTTCTTGTGAATTTCCCAAAATTCATGACTTGTTTCATTACCTACTTGATATTCATATGCAAGGAATGTTTCTCAACCTGAGCATATATTGCCAAAAAAGAAAATGTTGCATTGTGAGTTTTAAACTTGTAACTGAAGCTTTGATTTGTAATTTGAGACAAGAAATTTAGGGAGAAAGCTATTTGAGATAAACATAAAAAAAAAATATATTGATTCTATACTGAAAATGCAGAGAAATAAATAAATTTCAAAATGTAGTGGTTTTCAAAATCTGTACCGTATGTAATGATATCACACCAACAATAATAATAACATAAAGTATATCCAAATTTTGTTTTCAACTTAAACTTCCAGTGTTGTTTAGAATAATTAATTTACTTGCTTCTGGAGATGCAAACATATTTTTTGTTTAATGAAATACAACAAGATTTTCAATTGTTATTAATGCCTTATTTATAAAATAAGGAATTAGTGTTTATTAAGCGATGGTATAAATTGTATATTTTCTTCTTAGGTTGTGGAGATTTCATAATTAAAACTATTCACTTTTTACCTGATCCTTGTGCATTGCCTGAAAAGCATAAAAAACGTTCTTTAAATGAGAAAGAAAGGCTAATTTATGCTCCTATGGCTGGTGTGGGTGGAATTGTGTATGACAAAGATGCTGTTTATATTGAGGTGAAGGATAATCAAGGTCAAGCAGACGATGAAACGGTATGATGCATATTTATTTTCAGAGCAAAAAAAAAGAAATCTGATGATGTTTTCTTTATTTTATTTTTTATTGCACTTTATGGTCTATAAACATGAATATCATAACATGAATTGGGCCCCATGTACTAAATAATATGAAACAAAAAGCTAATTCTTATCCAGTATGTTTCCTGTCATTTTTTGTCTTGCCTGTGGTCAAGTTATTAAATAAATGAAATGTTGATTGCCAAGCCATTAGTTTTATGACTAAGTATACATTGAATGTTAAATGTTGATATATTCTAAAGGCAAATTTCACTGATTGTTCATCTGAGCAATGGAGAAGAATTGAAATATAATTAATTGAATGTATTAATTAACTTACCTTTGCAGTCCATTGCTATCCATCTGCCTTATTTAAATGCATGTATATTTTCTTCTATAATTTCATAATTTCAATATCAGGAAACTTTAAAAAAAATACCTGTAATGAAATCTGTTTTTATTGGAGACTTTGTTAAGCAGAAGCTCATTATTAGCTGAAAATTCCCCCCCCCTTTTTTTCAATTTTAATACGTGCTCCCTTAATTAAGTACAGTCCAGTTAATTCTGGATTAAGCAGAGCTTTCAAGAACAATTTCCAGGTAGCTAGCAGATGGTTTAAAAATCTGCTTATTATACCTTACAGACATTGGTTTCTTTCATGTGTGATGACAGGTTATTACTAGTAATTTCTCTTTGTTCTTGTGCACTGTACTAAACATTCTGTATGTGTTACAAAACTAATGTTTGCATATATCATTTCTTCAGTTATCAGTTAATTGAGGAATCTTATTAATTATCATAGCAATTAATTGATCATGGTTTCAAAGAAAGCATAAAAAGATAATAATAATTGTATATGTAAAATATAAAATATCTATCTTTCAAATAATAAATTAATAATAGCCCTTTAACTCCTGTCTTCATTCTAAAAAATAACACAGCAATAATTTTTTGAAGTAAATGAAAAAGATTCATCATCTAATGTGTAGTGCGCACTTGTCGATGAAATCTGAATCCTACATCTGGACATCTGTCATGTGATCTGAAGTGGTATAAAAGGTTATTTGATTTGCAATTCCCCTTTCTTCGCTCTTTACTTTTGCTTCTAGATGCTTGTGTCGCCTTGCCGTAAGTCGCGAAAAGTTTACTTTCCTAATTTTGTCCATTAAGAAGATATAATCTGTATAAAATTGGGGGGGGGGCATAGAGCACCCATAATGATGATGTGCATTATCAAGGAATAAAATTATGTGGGGAGTTTATGTGTGTTTTTCGAGTGTCATCTTGCTAACTACGCAGTAAAATTTCTTCAATTTATAATTCGGAGAAGCACCGCCAATCCGTTGCAACTTTCCACCAAGTCATCTTATTAGAGCAATACCGCAGTCATATTGCAATAATGATGCAGTCCTATCACAGTAATGGATTAGTTATATTACACACACATATAAATATAACTTAATAACTATAAAAGATATGTAAATCTTGAAATTATAATTTAAACTAGTAATAACTTTACTGTGTAATTTCTAGATAAATCTGTGTCATACAGCTTGCATAGCGCTGATGAGATAGCTAATTCAGAACCTGAACCAAAAATTTCAAGAACTGAAACCTTTCTCTTTAACAGGCTGCCATATTGGATAACTGTGCACTTTGCTTCTACCTCTGTCCCATTAAGACTGCCTTGTGGCTCTGTTCCTATCGCAGTAGCATCAAAAATGTAAATGTTTTTGAATAGCATGATTAGAGTGCTAAGTGAATCATGGTTGAAAATGTCAGAAATAAAGATGGATATTTAATATGCCTCAACTGCAAAGTTTGCTGTTCATTACGGATTTAACATTCTACATTTACACCATTGATATTGCCAAGTCTTTTTCATTACAATGATGAAATACCATATTTCTCCATCTACATCATCAACTATTTCTAAAACTGTTATTTCTAAATATATTATATATATAATTATTATTATCTTATATACTGGGTAAGTCAAAATGAATATAGTGGTTACAAAAGGCTATAACTATTTAATGAGAAAGAATTTATCGATAAGAGTAACACAGAATGTAGACGGAAATACAAAATTTCTTTACGTAAGGTGCAGGTGCAGTGAAGCGTAAGCATACGTATGCGAGTTGAAACTTCACAAAGACAAGAAACCTGTTCATTGCGGGCATCTCATTAGTAAAAATGCAGAGTCCCATGCAGAAAGCATTCTGCGTGTTAGACTTTGAAAAGTGTCATTCTGTTATAACAGTTTGTGCAGAGAAGATTTCGTCAGCATTACAAATAAGAACCTCCAAATGCAAACAACATACGCAGATGGCATCGGATGTTTAAAGAAACAGGATGTCTGTGCAAAGGGAAAAGTTGCGGAAAGTCACGTGTTTCAGCAGATAACGTAGAAAAAATTCACCTCACGTATGAACAAAGCCCACGGAAATCGACATGCGAAGGCAGTAGGGAGTTGCAAATGCTACAAGAAATGGTATGGTATGTTCTCAGAAAGAGGCTGCAAATGAAACCTTACATCATTCAACTTGGGCAGTAATAGAAACAGGAAGACTATGGCAAACATATGAATTACACTACATTTTTGATGGAAAGCATGGAGTATGAAATAACGGCTAATCATCTCATTTTGAGCAATGAATCAGCCTTCCACATAAGTGGGAAGATTAACTGGTACAACTGTTGAATATGGGGTATGGAGAAGCCTTCCACTGTAATTGAACATGAACAAGACTTTGCGAAAGTTAATGTGTTCTGCAAGATCTCATCACATAAATTGTATGGTCCTTTTTTTCTTCAGTGAGCAAAGTGTGACATCAAATGTTTACCTAGACATGCTTGAGGTATGGTTAATGCCACAGCTAGATTCTAATTCCACGGATTACATCTTTCAGCAAGATGGAGCACCCCCACATTAGCGTACGGAGGTTTTCACATTTTTAAATCAACATCTTACAAAGCATTGGATCAGTCGAAGTAGAGCTGCCATGGTGTCTTCTATTCTTGGCCACCGAGATCTCCGGACTTAACACCCTGCAAATTTTTTCTACGGGGTTATGTAAAAGACGGGATGTTTGTATCTCCCATGCTCAAAACAATTGAAGAACCCAAAGTACGCATTTGTAATATGCTTGCGTCGGTGACTGAACAAATGCTTAAGAAGTAAAGTGTGAAATGGACTACCGCCTAGATGGTGTCCCCGTGACCAAGAGAAGTCACATAGAACATCTATGACGTATGTATACAAAATTTTGATGTTATGTGTTAATTTTAAAGATCTTAAAGATAAGTTCATTTTCAATAAAAAGTTATAGCCATTTGTAATCGCTATATTCATTTTGACTTACCCTATATATATATATATATATATATGTATGTATATATATGTATATATGTATGTATATATATGTATATGTAAGGTATATCTATATATATACACACACACAACATATAGTACATACTCTGGTCTTTTAGTTAAGTTTTAAATATTAGGTTGTTCATTGATATTTATCATTTGAAATAAAATGATATTTTTTTCTTAGCTTTTTTCTGGATTGTCTTTGCCTTCATAATTCACATGAAAAATTCTGAAATTGCTATTCTGAGAGCTTGTAATTGGAGAAGCATTAGCTGTTAATTCTTCTAATATTTAAACACTATAGGATTTAATTATAATTCATTAATAAAACTTATTTAAAATTTTCAATATAAAATTGATTTTGCTATTTTTTGTGTTTTCATTTTATATTTCTTATTGCTGCTTAATTAAAGATTTAAGAAATTAAATTTATTTGAGGTAACTCTGTTTAAATCTAAATTTAGTTAGCTAATTAGAGATCCAGTGCTTCTTTGCAGCGTCTTGAAATCATTGAAGTACAACATTATTTTGTATAATTTTCATTTGCAAAATTGGTTTAAATTTCTGTGTGAGAATTTTAACATATCTTTTTTGCTGTTATTGTGTAACATGTTATACTTGATTATGAGGTTAAATTATTTCTCAGAAGTTACTAAAATGATTATTTATTAGGAAAATAAACCTTCTGAGAAACTAGTAAGCTCTATAGTTTCAGTACAACATCCTATTGATGAGAAAATGAGGGCTGCAAAACTGCAGTTACTTCCTGGAGAACAACCTTTAATTGAAGAGGATTTATCAAGGTAAAGCAACATAATTTGTAAATTTTTAAATAATAAAGTTTAAAATAAAATTTTTCAGATCAGAATTTGTTGTTGTAGTTGTTAACATTTAAGTGTATGGTATTATAGAAAATACAGCTGTCATCTCAACCCCCTTTTATTTGTGTAACCTTAAATTTAGAATGTAGAAATTATTAGGCATTTCTTATACTCTGACTACCAATAAGTATTTGGACACCTGTGATAGAAAAAAAAAACTAACTTTTTTCAAAATCAATAGTTGGTAGAGCCTCCACGAGAGGTAATTACAGCGTGGACCCTCCGGGGCATACTTTCCATAAGTCTTTGTATGACAGCTAGTGGTATTTTCTTCTACTCGTCTTGGAGAAGACATAGAAATTCCTTCACCGATTTTTCACGGGTAGTGCACCCCTGAATTCGGCGATGCAGCTCGTCCCAAAGGTTCTCGATAGGGTTCAGGTCTGGACTCTGGGCAGGCCAGTCCATTCGATGTTATCCATTGGCACCATACCAAGCCTTGGTTAACGTCGAAACATGACAACTGGCATTGTCGTCCTGAAAGTGACAGGGGTCCAACCCGTAAAACTGCCACAATGTAGGAAGCACATTGTCATCCAAAATAGTGCAGTAGGCATCGGAGTTGAGCTTACTATGAATGGGGACCAAGGGTCCCAGCCCATACCAGGAGAAACACCCCCAGACCATAATTCCCCCTCCGCCTAACTTGACTGTTGGCACAAAGTATTCTGGCAGGAGACGTTCTCCAGGTAGATGCCAGACCCAGACCCTGCCATCCGAACGGTAAAGGGAGAACCTTGATTCGTCACTCCAAAGAACCCATTTCCACTGATCTACGGTCCAATTTCGATGTGCTTTGCACCACGTTAACCGAGCAGCGCGGTTGGACTTTGTGATCAAAGGCTTATGGGCAGCAGCACGACCATGAAAACCAAGCAGATGTGCTTCCTTACGGATGGTATTCATTGAAACAATACTCCCGGATGCCTGTTGAAACTCCTCGCGGATAGGGGCCATCGGTTGGGTGCAGTTTTTCTGAATTTCTCTGGACAGCACTCGTCGGTCTCTATCTCCCAGTTTCGTTGGTCTGCCGACTCGGGGCACATTCCGACAATCATCGCTCACCTTCCACTTCTTAATCACATAGGCCACTGTCGATTTTGGGTACTTCAGATCGCTAGATATGTCCCGTAAGGATCAGCCACATTTGTGATACCCGATAATTATACCTTTCTCGAAATCAGAGAGGTCCGAACCGTGAGGCATCTTGCATGTGACTAAAGCCTATGCTGTTTCCTACATGATATATACCGGCGGAGTCCGTGACGTACCTTAGGACCGCAGATATCGTCATTTGCATAGGTGTCCAAATACTTATTTGTAGTCAGTGTATTACTTCACTAAAATCATGTTTACAATTTCTGGAGATCGATTATTAGCTGAGTTTTAATCAGTTGCAATTTTGATATGAAATGTTTGCTGTATACTGAGCTGTATTTTTCATTATATTTGTATTTTTTTTCTTTTTTTAGTTATTCTTTTTATTATAATTTTAAAATTTACAAAGTATGGAAAGTAATTAAATGATGAAATGAGAATTTTTTAGATATCTATTAGACATCTATGAAGACAAAAATGAGCAGGAAAAGATCTGGTTTGTTTAGAGCAGGGTTTCTTAAACTGTGGGTCGCGGGACGTGCAGCAGGGGTCGCCAAAAATTTTAACAGTTTTGATACTACTTTAACTTATTATAATAATTTTACAATTACCAAATATTTTTACACAATGTATCTGAAGATAGATAAAGGTAAGACAATACAGACAAAGAAAAAAAACATGAAAATGTTTCGACGCATTCTTTTTATAATATAAACATTAACTTTCGTTGCTTTGTATGTGACGCTGTCATTTTGTCTGTTACTTATTTAAAATTTTCACATTGTTCTATGTCTTAAAATTAGAAATTAAAGTTAATGACCTGAAACTGCAATAATACATCACAATACAAGTGAAAAAATTGACAGTTTCACTTACGCGTGTGTCTGATTTGCACAATACTTATGGGGTCCCACAAAAAAATGTTGTAAATATTATGGTGTCCTGGGGGCCGCAAAAAAATTTCAGTGATAAAAGGGGTCGCAACTGAAAAAAGTTTAAGAAACCCTGGTTTAGAGTAACAAGAATGTGAAATTGAAGAATCACAATTTTGACTCTGAAACAATCTTATCTGATGATTACTTTGTCAGTGATGATAATTAAGGTAACTTAATTAAGTTTAAAATGTGGAGGAAAACAGAAATTGCATAACCTTTAAAAGGGATAAAAAAAAAAGAATTATAAAGAAATCACTTATAATAGATACTAGAGGCATTTCAAAGAAATGAAGCCATTTTGAAAATAATGATTGATGAATTAAAATACTCTAACAAATGCCTTAAATATGCATATTTGATGCATAAAAATTTTTAGAAGAATTTACATTGAAAGTATTTTTATTCTTTCATAATAAATTGCATGTTTTATATGCATTTATAAATAAACAAAGAAATGAAATAAAAGTATCTTACTTTAATAAAAAAAAATGCATAAATTAGATGGAAATGTAATGGAGGGCTGTACATATTATTTAAATATATCCCTGAATAATAATAATCCCCATAATATATGTGACTGAACTTGAGAGCATCATCAAAGGTTTAATTAAAACTACTCTGTTTTATTTTTTCCTTTGAATTCATGAAACTTCATAGTAAATCAAGGATCTCCAAATCTTTTTCCTTTCGTTCCCTCCTTTTTTAATGCCAAGCAACCACAAATCTTTTGTTAACATTTTCTTTCTGTTAATTAGTAAAACTAATTAAAAGCTATCACTAAATATATTCATGCAGTGTTAATATATGACATTTTATACAGACTAATCATTTTATTGTACTTTTGTCATTATTAACCCCTTAACTGCCACGGGCATATATATGTACCTTGCTCAGCCGATGCGTTAACTGCCACAGGCGTATATATACACACCCTTCCAAACTACTATCATTTGCTTTGCACTGCTACCCGTAAAATTATTCGCAAAGCTTTGGAATGCAACACCACAAAGACTTTGACAAAGTATGCAAATGAGGATACTATTTCAGAGAAGTGTGTGGGGAGAAATTGGAGAGAGAGGTGTGCCTAAAGCGGGAAAAGTAATATTGCGCAGTATTGAAGTATAAAGTGATGTTGTTTGAGTAAAACGTATTTTTTTAATTCTGTATCCTCTGTTTTCGTTTACTTTTTGTAGTAGGTTCCAGGAATAAAGAAAGATATAATGGATGTTTCAAACCCATTTATCTTTTTTGAATTATTTTTTGATGAACTGCTCGTGCTTCATATTGTTACTGAAACTAACCGTTTTGTAGAAGAGTATATAAACCAAACACCTTGCAAACGAAAAATCAAGAACAAAATCGTGGCATTCAACCAGTTCAGAAGAAATACAGTCAAAAGTCGTTAATTCGGACACCCATAATTCGGAATGATCTATAATCCGGACCTCAAAACTAAAAACTTTCTGGGCATGCGCCGCGTTGACACATGCGCATAGGCGTTTACGCGTGCACGTAAGACCTTTTACGACTGCGCATATGAGTGTGCGCAAGTGCAGAATACGTTTTCGCGTGCGCGTTTTATATATAATGGACGTATAAGCTAAAATTATCTAATTATCCATTTCAGTTAATGTTGATGATTGCGTTGTTCCTTAATTCTCGAATTGGATCCGGCTTATTATTTTTTTCAGACTGTAAGAGCAATTTTATAAAAGTAAGCTTAAACTTTCGATTATATTCAAATAGAATTTCCGATATATATTTGTTAATATGTAAAGGATCTAAAGCGAAAGTATGTTTTGAAATCCGAAATCTGTTTATCAATTTCACGCTGCTCGGCGGGGGGAACGCCGCGGTGGGCGCGTAATGAATTGGAAGTTGATCTGTCAGCACTATCCTTATATTCAGCGCAGATGTTTTTATTTTATTTGGCTTATAATTCCTTACCAAATGTAGTATTTCATCTCGATATGCTCCGTCTTTGATATGATTTAAAACAAGTTCCTCATCATTATAATTCGCTTCCGATAGCGAAGTGACACAGAGGTTATTGAAAACGAAAAAATTTCGATTGACAAATTAGTCGGTGTTCTCGACACAGCAATTATAGGACTTGAACAGCGGAACTTTGTAGCTGAACAAGAAATTATGTCTGTTTAATAGAATTAAAGAGAAAGTATTATCACATGAAATGAAGCAAAACTTAAACAACTTACATTGAAAGAAAATATTTAATAAAGTAAACAAATAAATATTAAGCTTTTTCTTTTTGCAAATTTTGATACCCTTTAGATCATAATTGTTCTTTATTTCGTAAATTACGGTTCATATTTTTAATTTTAGAATTTCTGCATGCCATCTTACGAGATTTAAACTGATGATCTATAATCCGGAAAAATTGGTAATCTGGAATCGCCGAAGTCCCGACGAGTCCGGATTAACGACTTTTGACTGTATATGTTTTTTTAGGCATATTGATTTCATAAGGTATAACACTAAAACCTGATATTACACTTTACTGGTCTAAAAATGAATTGATCGAAACTCCATTTTAGGGATCTTTTTTATTATAAAAACATCATTTTTATGATACTTACATCTTTTTATTATACTTTTACTCAAAACATTAAATTTTGTGCATTCATTTTTTTTCTTTTATTCTTTATTTTGTGAAAGTAAACAGTTTTTAGAAAGTAAAACTTACACTTATTTTCCCTCTAATACATCGCTGAACTACGTGCGCCTGAGTGAAAAACCGTGGCACTGAATCTTCTATGTTTTTCCGCAGCAGTTAAGGGGTTAATTGAAGAGATATAGTTGATTGTCTTTAATAAGAGCAGTAGCAAATTGATTAACTTTAGGACTGTGGATTGCAAATTTTACTTAACTCTTTCGCATCGAGAGAGGGCAAAATCTCAATTCTCCAAACATCAAAAACGCCCGTATCTAAGAATTTCTCCTGGAATGCTTTTCCTTCCCCCATGACAATTTGAATACTACAGCGTTAACAATAGCCTTACTTAAGTAAAGCAAGAACTTCTTTCTTCGACGCTTTGACACTGTGTGAAGTTCCCCCTTGGGACGGGATTGCAACTTCGGGCATCAAAAGCTAAACACTGACAGTAAACAAAGGAAAGGAAGGAAAAAAGGAAACAAGGAAGCTACTTTTAGTAGCTTCAAAAGAATGATTGACACGTGATTTAACAACACCTGAAAGCAATGAGTAATGTAGTAACGTGATGGGGGAAAGCACTGGGTAGGAAATTATTCAGGCGTTTTGGGCGTCCAGCCGATGTCTGATTGTTTGGGTGTTTGGGGCGACTTCGATGCAAAAGAGTTAAAATATAAAAAGTATGCATTATTTCATCATGTAAACTATTATATTACCTAGAAGCATAGATTACCCCACATTTTCATTTGATTGGCTTATAGCATTTGACGTAAATTTTAATCCTAAACAAATTTTCAAAAAAATATTATTATTGCCTAGAGCTGACACAACTGTAGCCTGCTACTTTAAGCTACAGCATAGCCTGTTGTTTCAAGTCATGATATTATGCATCTCTCATGTCAGAATATTTCAAAACAGAATGTATCACTTTGGCTGCCCTATTCATAAAATTTGAACCTGATTTGGCGTATGTAGGTTGCCCTAGACTTTCAAATCATGAAGCCTCTCTTGATCTTCCAGGATCTGAAAAGTGTTATTAATGCATTGTACGAGTAATGAACGACAGTGAGCATCTGTCATGTCAGAATACTTCAAAACAGAATGTATCACTTTTGCTGGCCTATTGACCAAATTTGAACCTGATTGAGCATATGTAGGTTATCCTAGACTTTCAAATCACAAAGCCTCCTTTGATCCTCCAGGATCTGAAAAGTGTAATTTTAAAAGAGTAATATAATATGTATAATTCCATAAGATTTTGTGAGCAGTTTGGTAAATTCTATGTAATCAAGAGGTGAGGTTTTTCATTTTTGTCGGAGGTGATCATATTCTATATGAAAGAGAGTTTTCTTGCAAAACACTGAAGATCATTATCTCATCATTTTAAAATTTCCATAAGTTTTATGTTAAACTCAATATTTTATGATTAATCAACTCGCAAAGAAGGTAATTTATATTAAGTAATGCTTTTGTACAAAATCAGGGTTCGTAGCGGTCCTTACAAGTGCTTATAAGTCCTTATATTTGAAAATAAAATATAAAGGCCCTTATAGGTGCTTACTTTTTTCTTTAAAACCCTTAATTTTTGTTTTTAGTTCTTATTTCTTGCTTTTAGTGCTTTTTTTTTAATCCTTTGTTTTTAATGAAAGTGCATTTTTCCCCCGTACCAAAGCCGAAACTAAATAAACAACTTTTCTTCCTTATATGCAATGTCAGATGGTGAATCATACTCTTGAAAATTGCTTTTCCCCCCTTCCTCTGCATTAACGTAACCTTTGGTGCACGTGAGAGTACAGACAGGTGCACGTCGTTCTATTAGCCAAAGAATTGCGAAAACGTAGAAAATTCCGGTACATTCGGTATTCTTTTCCTCCCAACCAAATACTACACACGTTTGAATTTCTATCAAGATTTTAATAATTTGCATTCTCGTTCCACATAGTCAGTTCATATTCGTGTTTATTATGATCGTTATACTTATATTATGAGCATATGTATGAATATTTATAATAATATAATTGCAGTAACTGTGGAAGTATAGATAAACTTCCAAAAATGGGTGTGTTTTTACACAGATTAGCTTTCTAAGGAATAATATTCAGAATGTCTTAAATAAAAGGAAAGTAATTGAATAGTCAAAATAATTTCATTTTCTTTGCCAATACATTATACAGTACGGAGGTTGGGAGTTTCTCCGCAAAATCTCTAATATTGAAGCAGCGGACTTTTTTTTTGTCACTGTCCAATCTGGATTGAATAGGACTAAAAGATTTGCGGTCTACCCAACCCAAGCGAAGATTGATTCTATTCCGGAAATTTAATACAGTCTGTTGAAAATTAGAATCAGAAACACCCCAGATTAGTAAGTCTCTTTCTTTTCCTTTATTTAGTTCTTTTTTCTCCGAATACCGGCAGGTGTTGATTCCGATTGCGGAATATCACATATGGAAGAATTACGGCGCACGTATTGCGCAATGTTTGCGGTATTTTGCATTGATAATTAATTTGCACATGTTCAGTGCTGATAACGTTTGCGATATTATCAGAGAGACTAAGAACAGTTTTACTGTGCTTTCTAAGCAGAATTATTTCTTCAGTTTCCGTTAAGCTATTTTTTATATGATGCACATATCGAAAATGTCAAAAGCATTTATTTAGCCTAAATTTAAATCTTAAAGGACCGGCTACAATCTATCCCCTTCCACTCCACTTTTATCCAGGAATTGACTATGCGGAATTTTCAGATATTTGGGAATTTCCGAGTATGCTGGGTTTAGTTAAGCTTTTACTGTTAAAGGAATGACTTGCATGAAGCAATTTCTCATCTTCTGATTTCAGAAAATGTTCCCTTTTTTACTTAAATTACTTTGTTCGGGATATATGATAGGGGAAAACTGTTATGCAATGAAAATTTAGAAAATGTTCAGAATTTTGATTTAAGTTAAATTACTTAAATATTAATATGAGTGGACAAATAAGTTGTATTTATTATTAGGTGCCAAACGACTACAATTAATATGGCCTATTATTTATTTTCTATATTTTCAACTGAAATATCATCATTAAATTTTGTAATATAGTTTAGTTCTGCATAGTTTTTTTTTTCTCTCATTGTAAACTAATTCTGTAAATTGAAATGCCATTTAAAAAATAATAAAAAAAAAAAGTAATTGTTTTCCATTGTTGAGGTAATGCTCATTCTCTTAATAAATATTGCATGCTCATATTTTAAATTACAGTCTAATTTTTTTTAAGGTTATGCAGTTTGTTATAATGTAATTAGACAGGTACTTATTTTTTCCTTAAAATGTGTTTGAAAAGTGCTTATAGGTGCTTATTTTTTTAACTAAAATGTGGCTATGAACCCTGAAAATGTTATTGATAATATTTCAACAAGTTGTATTTCTGTCAATTTTCTTTAAACTTAATGAGCAATATATGCTAATAAAATTTTTAAAAAAATGAAAGAGGAAGATTTCTTACATATACAGTTAGTTCTCCATAGTATCAGATTGATAAAACCACTCAGCATTGGTATTTTGTTCTTGATGTGGTCATGCATGCTGCTTGATAAGCTAAATTCCTACATCAGATGCCCAAGGAAGATATCACTTCTAAGGCAGATTGCTTTTGTATTGTTTCTCCTAACATTCTCCTCTTCCCCATTTTAACAATGTATTCTTTAAATTAAAGATAGCATTTTTTTAATCATATGCAAATTTAACAATTTAGTCAAACTGAAATAAAATTTTAAATGTAAAATTAATTAAACTTAGTCTTTTAAAATATTATTTTTTTATTTCATTCACTATAAGAACTTTTAATAGTTAGATTTTATGAATTTTGTAGTGAGAGTAATGAAGATGATGAAAATGATGATGAAGATGATGGTGATGAGGAAGATGATGATGGTGATGAAAATGAGGAAGATGATGATGGTGATGAAAATGAGGAAGATGATGAAAATAATAATGAAAGTGACAAAAGCAGTGATAATGGCAGTGAAGATGAACACAACAGTGAATCTGAATCTGACAGTGAAAATGAAGAAAGTGAGAATGAAAGTAGAACATTGCTAGATAAAGAAGAAACTCAGCAAAAAACAGGAAAGAAGAGAAAGGTGTGATGTTTCCTAAATTATATTATTTATCTCTACATGTAGCTTATTCAGGTTTGTTTAAAAAAGAAACTGATTTTTCTCCTGTTGCTTAATTTTTTTTTTTTTTTAAATAATTTAGGTGAGGTTTGAGGACGAAGAAGATGAATCTCAAGTATATGGTATAAAGAAAGATTCTGTAAAATTAGCTTCTGATGCAGAAATGAAGCAGACTAGAAAAAAGACAAAATTAGAAAAAAATGATGAAGAAAAGGAAGATGATTTTGAAGAAATGGGTAAAAAATTATTAATTTACCCCTGAGTTACTTTTAAAAGATGGATTTTTTAAAATTCTGTTGAAATATTTTGTTTAGAAACTGCATTATTTCAGTTACACATTTCCATATATGTAAGTGCAGTGTTTTTTTTTTGGGGGGGGGGTCTGATTGTACAAAATGGAGACATAATTTCAGTTGAATACCATTGGAAATTAAATTATTTTCAGTTTCATTTTTTTTAAACAACCAGATAAGTTTTTGTTTTGTTGTTTGCATATAGCGTACTTAACAGTTCTGCAGTATATAAAAAATTTTATTTTAAATTATTATTATTATTATTATTTACTATATCCTTAATTCTGTACAATTGAAAGAGTGTTTACTGTGTCAGTTTGCAGTTAGTAAGTTTAAAATTTGATTTACTAATTGTATTAATGTGAACATTATCATAATAGTCTTTAACTTTTTTTTATTCTCAGGACATGCAAAATGGAAGGATAATTTAATGAAAAAAGCTGCTGATGACTTTTACCAAAGGCAGAAAGAAACATTTAATCTTCAGAAACTTGTTTATGGGCAACGTAAGATTGAAAAACAGTTTTTCACTGTAATATGTTTTCTTGTAATGTGATGTAATTGTGTGTAGTTAAGCAGAGTAACAGTATTAACTAAAGTGTCTGTCCTATGATTGATGAAAAAAGTATAAAGCTGTAAAAGAAAATATTTTTATAATTCACAGTTTTGGTCATTAAATTGAAATTTGAGGCTAATATTGACAACTGACATCATATTTGGTGCTTGTGATCAAATTGAAGAATATGTTTTAATTATGTTTCAGATGCAAGATGCAAGTTTATCAACGTGTAGCATGCAAACTTCTGTACAAGTTTGTGAATTTAGCGTACTTAACAGTTCTGCAGTACTTAACAGTTCTTGTTTAGTTCAACTGTTTCAAATTGGTGACAAGCGAGCCACAATTTGCTCCTTCGAATGGCCTTCGAAGCAGTTTTATGCAACCTGTTAAATTTAAAAGGAATTCATTTTTGAAAAGTTGGCAGTTTTGCAAAACATATAGAAAGGGAGGGCTTTATACAAATTGAAAAATTTGCAGATTCATGATTGACGTTTACTAAAAATGGAAAGCACTCACGCATGTAGAAAATGCTAAATAATAATAGTAATACAGTAAATTCACGTCTCAATTAAAATACATGAAAAATTGCTGTTAAATTTATTTTACTGTTCCTGAAAACTGCAATTTTCTTTGTTTACATCCAAAAATGGATGTGGAGTACAGGCATTCTAAGCTGTTTGGATTATTAGAATTCCTTCCATGCTGTTGTTGCTTAAGCTCACTTGTCTGACGTTGTCAGTCGAAGCCCACGAAATTCTCATGGCAAAGAGCGCAAGATTACGTCTGTCATTGGTAACAACCTTGATCACCTAACAGGGGACAGTGCGATTTGGCTCGGTTCCACGCTCAGTTTTGATGGAGAGCACCTGGGGGGGGATGCGTCCGAGGGTTTCCCATCCCTCTCCCCTTCCACCAAACCACATGAGAGGACTTTCGGCTCACTGTATATTTAGAGTGCCGTCATGCCGCACCGACACTATACATTTACAAACATCCATGCCTTCTCCGGGATTCGAACCCAGGCCCTTCAGCATGCCAGCCAGCGATGCTAACCACTGTACCGGTTGGGCAGCTAGAATTCCATTGTGTTAAGAAGCAGATGCTTTTAAAGATGAAGCAGTGATTTATTTATTAAAACAAATGAATTAAAAAAATTAGTTTAAAATAAAGAAATGAATATAAATAAATTAAATACTAAAAGTATCTGAAAATATTTCAGATTAAAAAATATGTGACTATTTTACTGTAGTATTTTACTGTCAACTAACTGTCACTTACATCTTATCCTCAAACACCTGCTGACTATGGAGTGGCACTGCTACCAATGATTGCATTGATTGATGTTGTGTTGATGTTGGACAGGATTGCACTCTCAGTCTCTGAGTAGTTATGTTGGTGAGAGAACATTTTTCTGTCTGACCTAACATAAGTGAAGCCTAAATGTTGCCATGCCTGCACTGCAGTCTTACTAGATTTAATGTCGTGATCTAAAATCCATAATCACCAAAGTTCTAATTATTCTGGATCTGAGACTTCACACTGTCTATAATATAATATCTTGAATTGAGTTAATCTGAGGTTATTTATTAATGTTCTTTAATTGATGATTATCCATTTATAGGTCAAATACAAGAAACAGAGGACTCAGATTCTGATGATGAAATTGGCGGGCTCTTTCGATTAGCTAAACATGAAAAAGAGAAAAAACGTTCCCAAAGCGATGATGGAATTGATTGTTCCAAGTTTACAACATCTGTTCCTAGGGATTGGACTGATGAAAAAGTATGCCATATGGGAAATTTTGAACAGTTTCATATTTTGCTAAGTCATTTTTTACTTGATTTCTTTTCACAATTCATATATATATTGGTTTATACATATCCCTTTTTTTAGTCCAAAGGGGCAATTTGCCCAGAAGGACTATTAATTTCATTTTAACATTTTGTGTTGATTCACTATAAACATTCATTCACTTTTCAAATTGTTGCTGCCAAATATTAGAGCCCTGTATTATATTTAAAGAAATGAAATAATAAAGAATCTGTATAAATGTATTATGTTTCTCGCATTGTGATAAACAATGGTACCTAGAGCCATCAAATTTTGAATAACATACATTTCCACCCGAATATGGGCATCTGGAAACCCAAATTTGGAATTTGTTTTATTATCTATTTCATCTTTTGTAAAACTTTGACAAATTTTAGATTATGAAACTCAACAATTTCAAAGCGAGTCATGGCAACACTGGGGAAACATTTTTTATCTCCAGCACACGAAACTGTGTATTGGAAATTCTAAAGATATGCTCATTTAAAAATTATTTTGCAATATTGCTGTTGAAAAGGGGATTTGGCTTTAAATATTTGAATTACTTTTGAAATTGTTATCACTAAATATTATTGCCCTGAACTATATTTAAAGAAATTAAATAATGAAAAATCTGCATGATTGTATGTATGTTTCTTGCACTGAGAAAAGCAATGGTGCTTAGAGCCATGCATTTTTGAATAACGTAGTCTTCCACTTGAGTATTTGCATCTGAACCAAATTTGAATTTTAAGTTTAATTTGTTTTATTATCTATTTTATATCTTATAACAGTTTAATGAATTTTTTATTATCAAACTGAATGATTTCAAAGCAAGCAGTATAAAATATACTTTTATCCCCAGCGCATAAGACTGTATAGCAGAAATTTTAAAATTATGCTGTTTTTAAATATTTTGTGATTTTGCTGTTGAATTGAATTTTATGTGGTGTAAGTGTGAAGAACATGATATTTATTAAATGAAGTTATACATTGATTTAATGGAGTGAGATCATATTGAACAAAAAATAGAAAATGATATGCCAACACTTAACACACACAGGCCAACACATCAGGATTTCTAAATAGATGCTGCTATGAGGGTTTTAAAATTTTTGTAATTTTGCTGTTGAATTGTGTTTAGCATAACTTATGCATATATATGTGCCTCACCGAACAAAGGTATTACATGAACCGGACCCAGCTAGAAACTCCTATATTAGCAGGGTGAGGATCCCAGTTAAATTTCCCCCGAGAGGATTTATTAATCTTACTTGCTACTACCCCAGGCCCCAATCTAAGAGTGCAGACTAATGCCAACCCACCTCAGTCAAACCAAAAAATGAATCAGGTAGCTCCCGCAGAGGCAGGTGGAACCACCAAGTTGAATGATGATGTGACCCGTGGCCGAGACTATCACGAGAACTCTGTGAAGTACAGATCCTAGCCAGTACTTCACAGAGTTTTCTGTGTCAACCCTCGGGTAGGTGTATATAGCATAAGTGCAAAGAAAATGATGCCTAATAATAAAGCCAAAAAGGAATGGGTTTATATTGGGAGCAAGAAAAAAATTTTCCTTATTTATCAGTGACAGGAATTTAGTTTATGGCTGAACAAAAGTCGAAAATATTTCTACCATATATTCAAAGTACAAATTGTTAGAATGTTGTAGATCACTTACAGAAAATTACAAATATTAGCTGCTTGTCTGATGCGGGAAACGTATCTGAGTAGAAGAAAAGCAGCATACACGTAATTCAGCCACTGATGAAGCAGCATATATCAGACAATAGGATCTCAGATTGTCATGATTAAAAGATAACATTTGGTTTCTTCAGTGAATATTAATTTGATATTGAAAATGTGGCAAGTTGCTTTTTAGTTTTGCCTGATGGTGTGCAGGAATTGTAATAGCATTTTATTTATAAGCAATTAGATATAGAATTATAAGCTGCTTTTAATGGTTTTTTGGCACTTCATAAAATGTGCTTGTATCCATTATTGGGGATTTATATTTATCTTAAAGTATAACACATTATAATATGGAAGGTTATATTAAATGTACTTAGATTGTTTTAAATTTTTTAACTGTTTTAAATTTGTTAACTTTAACATTAGTGTTCTGTTTGTGTTTGTGTTATGTCAGTGTAATTTCTCTTGAGTAAGAGATCAATTTGTCATACATGCAAAACCAGTATAAAATACATAAATAATACACGACAAAGACTTATTTTAATGTTTATTCTCAAAACTAGGAAATGGAATCAATAAAAGATTGTTTTGTTACTGGTAAATGGGATGAAAATGAAGATGCAGAGCGTTTACTGGAAGAAGATGGTATGTTCACCTTATTTTGCTTTCTATTTTCATGTTTTACTTTTTTTTTTATTGTGTGTGGGAAAATGCTACCCATTTTTTTATTTTATTTATTAGTCCAGAGGGGCAATTTATCCTGAAGGACTATTAATTTCGTCTTGGCATTTTACGTTGAAAAGTATAAACGGCGAATCACTTTTTCAAATTGTTATCAAATATTATAGCCCTGTATTATATTTAAAGAAATTAAATAATGAAGAATCTGCATGAATGTATGCATGTTTCTCGCATTGTGATAAAACAACAGTACCTAGAGCCATCAAAATTTGAACAACATAATCTTCCGCTAAATATGGGGACATGGAAGCCCTAATTCGTATTTGAAATTTGTTTTATTATCGATTTCCTATTTTGTAGTACTTCAATGAATTTTTGATTTAAAAACTAAATGATTTCAATGAGAGCAATGGCAACACTGTACGAAAAAATAAATTTTTAGTTTCAGTGCGCGAGACTGTATTGGAAATTCTAAAGATATGCTCATTTTAAAATTATTTTACGATATTGCTGTTGAAAGGAATTTAATGGTTTGTGTACATAGAGCATGATGTTTAATAAATAAAGCTATCACACGAAATGTTAAAAAAACGCTCCTTTGGACATAATTTGAAACCTGAAACTTTTCAGTTTTTACTGTATTTTAATTTATTTATTTATTATAAATATTATTAGATGAATTGTATGGAGATTTTGAAGATTATGAAACAGGAGTTGCATATAAAGCTGAAGAGCCTGAAAAGAAAACATCTGAAGGTGAGTTAATGCTTTTTGTCTGTTTCAGTTTAATTTTCATGACATTTTTAATTTAGCGATTTGTGCTTGCAAATTGATAATTTAAAAAAAATGAGTGCTATTCAATTTATAAATCCTAGTTATTGATTTTATTAATGATTTAATTTTAAATAGGAGAAAGGGGGAACAAGTCCTTTTTAAGTTTCTTTTGTTATTTAGTTAACTGTTAGAAATTTTCATGTTATATTTTCTTTGTTATTAAGAAAAGAAAATTAAAAAAGCTAGTGTATTTATAACTGGTTAAAAAGCACGAAATTCAATATAAATTTTGACACAAAAAGGCAATAAATTATCAAAAAAAAAAAAAAAAAAAAAAAACTGCATGTTTAATATTTAAATTTTTAATATTTTTCCAACTTACAACATTGTAATAAATTTTCATCTTATAGCACAGTAATAAATTTCAGAGTTTTTTTTGCTGAGAAACTATTTCCAACTCAAATTTAATGACAACCAAATTAGCAGTAGCCTCAAATTGAAGTTGTCTATATTAGTTTATCATTAAGTGTTTAAAAATATTGCCAAATCATCCTTGATTTTGTGATAACATTTTATGAAATTAATATCTTATATGAAGCAAATAATATATTTTTTCCACATGTTCTTGGAAAATATTTTTTCTACCCCCTTCTCTATGAAATGTTTTCAAAGGAGTGGAATGACAGAAATGCTAGTAAGACCATGTTTTAACTATATAAATTGCAGTTCGTATTATAGCATAACATGTGACTCACTAGGTAAAATCTTCAAGTTTCAAATCTTTGAAGAAGTTTTTAATGGATAGAGAATGAATGTGGAATAGTCTAGTCTTTTTTTTTTTTTTTTTTTTTTAAGGAATGATGAACTAGATTGAAAAAGACATCTCTGAAGGAAATGGACCTTATCGATATATAAAGAAACTTTTGGTGAAATTTTCTGTGGTTGTTACTTCGTTTTAATTGATTACAGTACAGCATATAAGGGCTAGTGTACAAAATTATCCATGAAGCTATAAAGGGATTATAGCTTCATGGATAATTTTGTAAAGCAAACTGGCTTGTATTCACATTATTTTAAGGCAAACTGGTCCTACACACGTGGAGAAAATTATGAAAATGCACATGCAGCAACCTCTTTTTCTGGGATAGGAACTTGGCTTAAATTACCAGTTTTCAGAGTTTGTAACCACATAACCACTGAAAGACTGACTAGATATGGATAAGACTATTTTTAACTCATTTGCTGTTATTGATAAGAAAAATTCCAGTATTATTTTATGGTCAGCATAAAATAAAGTTATCCAGACCAAACGGAAATACCTTAAAGATTTGGTTATAGTAATATTTTTGTTTCTTACCTTTTTAAAAGTTAAAAGCTAGGTCATTGGTTAGTACGAACAAAAAATGTAACATTTTATAGCATAAGTCATAGGAATTAGTGAAATAAGCAAATTTTATAATATTAATTGAAATGCATCCTTGATTGAATAATATCTCCAATTTAATGGTAGTTTGATTCATCTCTTGACCATCTTTACATGAGGAATTGTCTGCATTAACCACTTGCGCTAAAAAGACGTGCCACGCACGTCGAGATGCTTTTGTCTCAAACTGCAAGTGACGTGAACACCACATTGATAGGTATTTATCGCAAAATGAAAGTAACATGGTGCACATGTTTCCTAAGAACGAGATTGTTTATTTCTCGAGTTACAGCTCTGGATTACACTCGCAGACGCGGAGCGGCGTAAATGAGACACTTTACCGCTTGTTATATTGTAGCGCACGGCACCGCAACCGTGAAGTTTAGTCGTAGTGCAAGTGGTTAATACTTCAGACAAACATCCAATGTCTGGAATTGTCTAACTAAAATCCAGACAACCAGAAGTTCTTCTTCTTCTTCTCTTTTTTTTCCTTGTATGCTTTGTGCATGTGCATTTTTTTAAATATTTTTTCATAATAAAACATGGAGGGTTTCCAAATCTTAATTTCAGTTCAGTGCTAAATAAATTACCTCCGTATTGAAGAAATTATCATTATTAGCATAAATCTTTATGATCAATCATTTGGCTGTGTATCCAAGTCTTTGCTTGGCATACATTTTAATCTGAAACATTCTTCGTTGAAAAATTATTGATTTTACATACACCTACTGAATAATTTATAACCCTAACACCAACTTGGCCAGGGTTTTGTGTAGTCCTTAAAAGTCTAAGTTTTTTTAAATTGATTTTATGGTCATTGAAAGTCCTTAATTTCAGCCAAAATCGGCAGAAGCTTCTTAATTTTAAGCATTTAAAATTGTTGTCTCTTTTTACGATTGCATTTTAAGTGTGATTCAGCATTTTGGAGGAATATGTTTGGCGATTCACTAACCAATATGGTTATTTTTTGAATGAGTGAGTGGGTTATAATTTGTTCCTATTTGCTCGAGTTTCTGGGTAAGAAGTGAAACATAAGCATCTCAAAATTATTTAATTTTTTCTAATGAAGAGCTCTTAAGCAACTTTGGGGATACGAGTTTTCTTATTAAATGGTTCTAAATTTGGTGATTTTAAGATAAATTTGTATTAAAAAAATTTTAATTCGAAAATCTGGGAATTTTTTGTCAATTTTTTTAACATAACATTGATAAATTTCATTAAAGTAATGGTAATATATTGAAATTATATTTAAGAAATAACATTAAAATAAAACATTTTTATTTTTGTCTCTCATATTATAAAGTGACATTACTTTCCATTTTGGTAATTTATTATACAGTATTTCGAATTTGAAAAATAAACAAGGTAATAAATGCTATAAAGCACAATTTATGAAACAATTTTTAGGAATAGCAAAATAACTATGTAATTAATAAAAACATCTTTTTCATGATAAGAGTTTTTCCCATGTAATCATCTCAGAATGTTCAGAATTCTCAGAATAGAATATGCGTCAGTTTTTTCTATAAAATTAATTTTACACTTTTTCCTTCTGATTTTTTTTCCTAAAATATTTCTGCTTTTTTGCTGCTACAGAATTGGTAAGGGTAATTTTTCTTTAGGATTTTAGATGTTGTAACTTGGAAAGCATAGAAGGATTTGAAGGCAAGATTTATAGACCCATGGTTCTAGAGAAGATGCCGAAAAAATGTGACAAATGAAAAATGTCTTCATGGTATTAACATGTAATGGATGTATTTTACAGAAAGTTTTTGATGAATTTCTTACTTTTTGGAGAATTTTGGAAGAATCATGAAATTTCTGGGAAGGCTTGAAATTAAAAAGATGCACAAATATTTATGTGTTTTGCTTAAAATAATAGAAAACAACATATTGTATCTGTTGTTTTAGTGGCTTATTAGAACCTTAAAGTATATTAACTGGGTTACAATTTAAGGAACTCTACATGAAACTGTGACACTAACTGTGTCGGCTGAGACAAACATTTTGTTCGCAGTGTAGGTACCCGCACATCTTGGCACTACCTCGGAGTATTTAGATGCCGATTTTGGATTATTTTGGGCTTCGAACATAAGTAAAAATCCTAATAATTAATTGCAGAATGATGTGCATAAATGAAACAAAGATAGGCATAGTCCTTGACGAAAAAATTTTAACTGTGTCAGACAGACAGATCATAACTACCTTTCAAAACTTGCCCACCATGCCTACACCAGGCTTTCACGTTCGTTTTGATCAGCAGGTCTCTCTCTAGGCAAGCAGCAGCAGTAGCAACAGACAATCTTCTGTACAAATCATGCTGATTATGATTACTTCTCATTTAAACCTATGCCATTTGACTAAAACCTACCTGCTATTTACTTAGACCGAGCAAGTTCGTATGTGAAAAAATGAGACAAAAAAGAAAAAAAAAAATCCATGTAAAGCTAACTGTTAGTAAAATGTAAATAAAATATGTCTTATCTTCTTTCAAATATGTCAAACTATTTTAAGTGTAAAAGATTTAATGTTACTTAATAAGTTTTATTAAGTTGATTTTATACTCAAATTTGTTTTATAATTATGTTTATTAAGTTATGTTTAACCGCTTCCCTTACAGATTTTTTTGGAAAAAAAATGCGAAAAATCATCACATTTTTTATTTTATTATTAAATACAAGGAAATAAAACAAAACAAAATATGTAGGTTTTAATTTTTAATTTTTTACAGGTGTAAGTTTTAGTATTAGTTTACTACCTCGAGTTATCTCGTGCCAAATGAAAAAAAGTTAAATATTAGTCTTTGTATGATAGGTTTTGAAACAAGGGACAACACAAAGTGATACCTGGCATTCTGTAAACTGGTATCTGGTCTCTTTTCTTACTGGCTTACCTCTGGTATCTCTTTTACAGAAGCACTTGAACTATTGTCTTCAAGAAGGCTACATACAGAAGAATCATTTCCACTATTTTCAATGTCCATCTCTTCATAATCACTATCTGAAAAATCATTGCTTTTGCTATCTTGCATCATCACCATTATTTTGTTTTCAACGCAACTTACCTTCTTTATACATTACTAATCCACAAGCCGACGTATACTATACAATAGGGAAAACATGTAATCAGTCCCACCAAAAGAACCGTGAAACCAATAAAACTTGGCAAACTGCCAAACAAAGCTGAATATTTCCTCTAATTTCCTCCAGGCCGAGTAAAACCGTGCTAAAACAAATCATACTGACAAATTCTCGCCGAAGTTTTCTAGTGATAATAATTAGCTGAAATATATACGAACCCAAGATAACTCGGAATATACAGGCAAGTGGTTAATAATAATGCATCCTATGTATGCATCTGTTTTATTCTTAGGATGGTATTACAAAAGGGAATTTCAGGCATAGATAGTATCTTCTAAAAAAAATTTACATTTAATGTTAGTAATTCATTTAATATTACCAAAGAGCATGGCAGTCTTTTATGCTCATATTTTGCTTAGTGATGAACCTTCAGCTAACTAAGCTGCAAAGTGTTGAGTGTGTTGATGAAGATAAATTTAACAGAAATTTCTTTCCATATGCGAAAAATAGATTTTGTAAATTATACTCATAGACCAAAAGACTGTGTTATGATTATAAGACTGCTGTTATAATTTAGAATACCTGATTGTTCAGATTAGTTCAAGACCAGCGCCAGAGTTGGTGCAACCACACCCAGCAGCAGAATTTGGAGGAGGCAACATTTTTAGAATTTAGAGAAGCACTGAGCAACATAATTAAGGTATGGACAAATCCTTAGAATTTAGGAAAGGTACTAGTATGCAAAATTTAGGGATGGTAAAATTTTTAGAATTTAGGCAAGAGCTTTTAGCAGCTAGGACTGGACCACAAAATGTCTAGTGCCAGCCCTGGATATGTCTTACGCATATGCAGGAATTTATTTATTCAGGACTCAAATAACCCTTAAGCATTTGTGGAAAATAGATGTAAGTATGTTAAGTAAATGAACTAATATAATCCAGGCTTAACTTCTTCATCGTGATAGAATCAAGACAAAATTTAGCAGAACAGTGACTTTAGTTGTCAGTCTCATGATACATAGCCAGTAGTTTATAGTAGATGCTAGCTAAAAGCTTTATGATGAGACCTGCGAATTTGAAGGTTTTCAAACAAAACAAATTATCACAAACGAAAAACGAAATTTTTCAGTTATTAATTAGAATGTGTGAATAAATGTGGAGAAGGGGTAATAAATGAAGATGTTATAACAGAAGTTTTTAATCACATTGACAATGCCTCAGTCATCAATCAGCTTAACAAAGGGGGAAATGTATAGCATGGTTCTAGAAATCCACAAAATATCGATACCAGGGCCGTAGCTAGGGTTTTCAGTGCCTGGGGACATCTGAAGGTTTTACGCTTCCTTCTGTGTGCCAAGAATGGAAGCAATGTCATTCTAAATTTTTGTAACATCAGTTTGGCACCCCTCAGATGCTGCACCCAGGGACAGATGTCCCCCCTTTTCATACCCTAGCTATGCTGGTGATCGATACCAATAACGAAGAAAGTGACAGGGAGAGTGCTGAAAACGAAAAAATTTTGATTGTCAATTTAGTGGGGATTATCAATATTTAAACAGTTTAACTTTGTGACTGAACAAGAAATTTTGTCTATGTATAGAAAGTTTTTTTGTAAATATTTATTCCCTTAAGGTCATAAAGGCTTTATTAGTTCGTAAAAAACTCTTTCAGAGTTTTAATTTTGTAATTTTAACATGTGATCTTACTGAATTTAAACTGGGGATTTAATATCTGGAAAAATCTCAAATCTGGAATTGCCCGAAGCCCTGACAAGTGTGTGTCTCGGGCTTTGTACTGTGTAATGCATAATGGGAATTGTAACAGATTTTTTAATTTAATTTTTTCTGTTATATGCCTGTTTTAGATGAAGAAGATAGCACAGAAGAGAATACTGGGGAAGATGAAAAAACTGAAGCTGAGATGGAAAGAGCTCTTGAAGAAAAATACAGGAAAAAGAAGGAGTTAAAAGAAGCATTTAACAACAATGTTGATGTAACTAAAGATAAATCATACTATGAGGATCTTAAAGCTGAAGTTGATGCTCAAGCAGAGGTTACTCAATATTTATATGAATTTTTATTAATACAATTTATATTTTAAATCTAACAAAGGATTATATTTTTATTTTTAATTTTTTTCTCAATAAAAGTTTTTGGGCTTATTTTCATGTTCTAGTTTACAGTTATATTAAAAGATAGTGACATCTTATTTTTGCCATTGTTGTTATATGGTATCAAATTACATAGACATAATTTAATCAAATATAAATAGACATAATTTAATCAAAAATCTCACGGGGCGAGGGTAAAAGCATCTGTAAATTTTCTATTGAATTTTTTAAACATTTGCATCTACCATTTTTTAAAAAATTTCTTTGTAATTTCAGTTTTAATATTTTTAAGAATTTTTTGTATTCTAGTTTAACAATCTTGTGGAATCAATTTTTTATGAATTTTGCTATTTCTTGTAAAAACATCAATAATTGTGCCAATCTGATGATTTGTTGTCATTTTAAGTGCATATTCTTGGCAGGTATTAAGACTATCATTTGAGTTTTTTTTTTTTTTTAATTTTTTTTATTACATGGAAAAGGAGTTCATTTCTTTTTGTGCATTCTTAGATTTGACAAATTATCAATTGGTTATTTAAACCAGTTTGTTATGAAAGTTTTGATCTGATAATCTGGGAATTTCATGACAGTTATTTTAATGAATATAGTAATATTAATTCAGAAGTCATTTCAAGTTTGACTTCTGAATTAGTATTTTTTCAGCATATTGTGTCTTAATTATAGTAATATTTTTATGATATCATAAAATACTGATAGTAAGTTAAACATGCATCTTTTGGAGAATATTCATATCGAAATGAAGATTCGTATTTTTCTGATCTCTTATTTAAAAATATTATGTAATGCATTTCAGATTTAGTGGTTTTGAATATTTTGATCATGAAATTTAAATAAGTTAATAAATGTTATGACCTTCAAATTCTGAAATTTTTTTTAGAAAAAACAGAAAAGTGACAGTAAATTATGTTAAAATAAATTGATACGTAATATAGTATATGTTTTTATGGTAAGTTTTCCTTACCTCTTTTGCTGTTTCAAAATTCATATATGAGTTAATTTTCTTTTAGTTTTCGCTGTAAAAATTATTATATATATATATATATATATATTTTTTTTTTTAATCTTCTGAATTTTACTTTCTTGAAACTAGTAGCTATGCATTCATTAGTTTAATATCCGGTGAAGTAAAAATGCTCTGAAAGTTTTTTAAAACTGAGAATTGTCATCAAGTCCACTTCTTAAATCCTATTTATATATTACTTATTACTAATGTACACTTAAGATTTCCAGTAACATATTTTTAACTGTATAAGCCAGTGTTGCCTGATATTTTTCAGCTAAAATAGCAAAAGCAGATTCAAAAAGTCGCAAATGATGTCAGAGATCACATGATTTTTGTGACGTCGTAGTTACACTGGCTCATATGACCTCTGACGTCATCACAAATCTACTGTCTATTGGTTCTGTAATTTACAGACTGTATTCGATTTTTAGTCATTTTAATTACCTATCTTAGCTTTAAAGAAAATGTTAAAACTATATTGTTCATTTTCAACTGTTGAAATGTCCATTCCTTTTTTTAATTAATTCTCGTTTCATTTAGGTTTCGGTTTTTAAATTAATTTGTAAAATATTCCTCACATTTAGATTGTTAGTGTTGTTTTTCTAATTTTTTGAGTTGACAGTTAATTTTTTTAATTCATGTTTTTTTTTTGCTTGATTGTGAATATTTTAATTGAGGAATGCTTTTCAGTGAGCTTTCCGTTCTGCGTGGAGTTCTTATTTCAGATTCTGATTACTTAAGAAAGTCTTGTTCTTTCACTGCTAAATTTATTTGTGTTGTTATTTAGCAAAAGTTGCTTTGATTTTTTAGTCATTTCCATTGCTTAGTTCATAACAATATTATAATCAAGATACTTAATTTCATTTCTTTCTTTGTTTGGGTACCCAATATACGGCGTGCAAGTTGCAAGTTCTTTTTTTCTATCCGTTATCATTGTAGAACTGGGGGGAGGGGACTGACTTAAAAACAACCAGAACACTAAAATCATGAATATTAGTATTAAGGTATATAATTCTCTGTTTTACATCCTTTTTCAATATTTTTCCTTTCATTGCATTGCTATTGTTTATGCAGAATAGGTTTGTCTATCAATAATGCAATAGAATCTTTGCTTTTGAGTTCAAGAAAATTTTTTTTTGCAAACTGCAATTTAGAACTTTTTTTAATAAGAATGTAAACAGTGATATATTGGACTTTTATAGATACAATAAAAAGGTTTTTCCAATTATAAACGTATTTGTGTCTTCTAAAGTTTCTAAAATTGGCGGCCAATGTCAACTTACGCACGGGGGGGGGGGGGGTTACCAAAGTAGTTTTTTTTTTCTTTCTTTTCCCACTTTTCCCTACACACTTCTTGTTATACCGGCGAGAGGCTGTGCAGCCTTGAAAAGGAAAGCACGTGTAAATAGGATTGGCAGATGCCAACTTCTATTTAAGCCTAAATAAACTTTTTTTTAATATAAATATTTTTAATTGATACATTATTTTAACATATAAGAAATTTGCGATATATTAAACAAATATTTAAAATCACAAAAAGTAGTATAAGGAAATGATGGGGTTCGCAAAAATTTCGCAAAATCGCAAATACTAAAATTTTAGTAGCACAAGTTTGCCAAAAGTGGCAAATTTGTGAAAAATCGCACGATCTGGCAACAATGTTGTAAGCATAATTTGAATTGTATTGAAATTTGGAGTATTAATTTATTGCGATTCACAAACCATATGTGTTTTAATTGACTGAATCTGCATTTTTGCTTATAGCTGAACAGAAAAGAGTTCGAGGATCTAGATGATGAAGTCAGAATTCAGTATGAGGGCTACAGGCCTGGCCTATATCTCCGCCTTGAAGTGGAGGATATGCCATGTGAATTTGTGAAGAATTTTGATCCAGCTTATCCAATTATTATTGGTTCACTTTTGAAAGGTGAAGATAAAATGGGCTATTTGCAGGTATGCTTTTAAAATTCTTCTAAATTTTATTTATTTATTTGAAAATTATGCTTATTTTTGTAATATATCAGTTTCTCATTATCAGAAAATGTGCGTAGTTTTATTAATTTTTAGGTAATTGGTGCCTAATAATATTTAATTAATAATAATGTAATACTATTTAATTAGAATATTAATGTACTGGAAGAAATTTTGATTTATTTATTTCAAATAATACTTTTAACTGTTGTAAACTGAAGAAATATCTTTCTCTCTTAGAATTACTCTTTTTTTTTAATGATATGTAAATGTATTCATTTGGAGCTAAATTTATATGCAGGCAAAATTAAAATATAACTATATCTCCATTTCTTTTTGCACATTCAAAAAATAAATCCATCAAAATTTTGTTGAAAAAATGTTAGTACTTGTAAATTTTTTTATTAAGGAATTTGTTTGAAATGTATTCATTATAAAATTATATAAATATTATGTTTGTTTATAATACACTCCTGCTAAAAAAAATAAGACAAAGCATGGAATAAAACAAAAAAAAAAAAAAAATGTTTAATGGATATGCATGAAATTGATCTAAAAGGTTGGTGTGGCATTACTAGATCACATAGCAGACAATAAAGCAAAGACATATAAAACACACGCATTGCAACCATCACATCGCAAAAGACCAATTGGGTCAGAAGAATGTGCAATGCAAGCATCACACTAATAATGGGTATGATCCCCTCTAACTGAAATGCATGCTTGATAACGGTGAGGCAAGCTGGCAGTAGTGCCCATTTCTATACGTCGGAGCTTGTGGACTGTGCCTGGTGGCACACCAAGACTTGCTGTCCTTCATCCCAATATGTCCCACACATACTGTATAGGAATTCAGGTTCAGTTATGTAGCAGGCCGTAACAGATGTGGAATGATTTCACTATCCGGATAACTTTAAACTCCTCAAGCTCTATGTGGGCAGGCATTATTGTTTATAAATATTCCGTAGGTATCCATTGCAAGGATGCACAAGAGAGTGTAGGATTTCGCTGCAATATCGAACGGCTGTGACGGAATCATGTAGAGGTCGGTGCGGCCATTCGTTGCTATCCCAGCTCATATAAGCAAGCCTACTCCATTGTAATGGTCTCTTTTGACGATGCTTGGCGCCCAGTAGCATGACTCACTATTGTCATTGCCTTTAGGGAATTGTTCTGGATGTTAAATCGAGACTCGTCTTTAAGGAGTATGTGGTCCCACTGCTCTGAAGACCCAATTCAATTGTGCTGTGACATGCAATGATGAAAAAGGAACACAAACTTTAGGTCTTTGGATGTACAATCCACTTTCATGCAGTTGACGTGGCAGAGTTTGGAGGAATATGGGCTATCCTGTAGCAGCAGAGATGCAACTCCAGATGTCATGCTGTTAGTGATCTACGGCATCTTGCACACAGCAACAGGAAGCGATCATGTGCCATTGTAGTAATCCTCTGCTGTCCAGATTCACATCTTCTGCAGGGGTTTTGATCCCTTTGGTAATGATTCCACAGCCTATTAAAGGTACTTCAACTGTCTCGCAACAGTGTATTGTCTTGCAGCAATTTGCAACATTTTGACAGCCCGCCAACGAGCAAATGGTGTCTTCGGCTAATGTTTTCTACTTTGGCTATCTTGGATTACATGGAACTATCAGTGCTCAAGAATTGACACATAGGTCTAGCATGTCCTTTTTAAGGTGTTGTGTGACTGCAGGATTGCATTTTATGCAAATTTTGGTTGCCTATTTGCATTTGGCAATGCTACCTCTATCTCATATGTAAATTGTATGTTTGAATTCCCCTTTTCACATTTGTACCTTTTCTTTTAGCATTTATTGCTTATTTTTTGAAGAAAGAATTTGATTGATTGATTTTGAGTAAACTTTTTTTTTTTTTTTTTTTTTTAGGTTCGAATTAAAAAGCATCGCTGGTATCCAAAAATATTGAAGAGCCGAGATCCGCTAATAATATCATTGGGATGGCGTAGGTTTCAGACTATCCCCCTGTATTATATTGTTGATCACAATATGCGTAATAGACACTTGAAGTATACTCCTAAGCATTTACATTGCATGGCTGCCTTTTGGGGTATGTGATAAAAATTGTTATTTTTGTAGTTTTGAAATATTTTGCTTCATAACATTACCTAATTGATGAAATATTTTAAGGTCCCATTTCTCAGCAGAAAGCAGGAATTTTAGGAGTTCAAACTGTTAGCGAAATAACGGTGAGTAGAAATGCAAACATTTATTTGCTTTGTAAAACTAATATTTTTCAAGTTATACCTTGTCTAAGGGCATTCATATATATTCTTATTGCTATTTTTCATGTATTCTAACTATCGAATGCATGACTTGTTTCACATATCATGTTTCTTTTTATAGATTGATACATAGCGTATTCGGAAACTAAGTCCGTTTCATTCTAGCGCCGTCGCAGCGCTGTGGTAGGCATCCTGCGCATGCGCACTAGTCTTTCTTGTTCACTGACTTTCAATTGTCAACATTTTGGTTGCTCTGTGTTGTGTTTTCAGTTTGCTGTGCACATTCAAAATGTTTAAGACAATTAGTTCTCATGCTGACTGTGAGATTTGTGCCGTGATTAAATTTTTGAACGCAAGGAATGTTAAACCGGCTGAAATTTATCGTCAAGTGACAGAAGTTTATGGTGAATACGCAATAAGTGATGGAATGGTGAGAAAGTGGGTAAGAATGTTTAATGCAGGTCGAACAAATGTCCACGCCGAGGCTCGGAGTGGTCGGCCTTCTGTTGTCACTGATGATTTGGTAAGGAAAGTTGATGAAGCAATTCATGAGAACAGATGCTTCACAATGACAACTCTTTCAGAGGCATTTAACAAGAGGCACCATTAATGCGGCACGATATTGTGAGACTTTAACAAAACTAAGGCGTACCATTCAAAACAAATGAAGATGCTCAGTAAAGGAATTGTGTTGCTCCATGACAATGCTCGGCCCCATACTGCTGGTGTAACTCAATCGTTAATTCAACAGTTTCATTGGGAGCAGTTCGATCACCCACCGTACAGCTCGGACTTGGCGCCGTCCGACTATCACTTGTTCCTGCACGTGAAGCGCGAGCTTGGTGGCAAGCGCTTTGGATCTGACGATGACACGAAAAATGCTGTGGAGTCGTGGTCATCGAAACTGGCGGGAAGTTTCTTTGAGGATGGTATACAAAAACTGGTCACCCGCTATGAAAAGTGTTTGATCATTGGCGGAAACTATGTTGAAAAATAGTTTAAGACATGTATTTTCATGTAAAAATAAAATTGGATTCGAAAAAATTGTTTTACTATTTTTTTTTTTTTTTTTTTTTTTCAAAACGGTACATAGTTTCCGAATATGCCTCGTATTTTATATAATTTTTTCCTCCTTTTTCAAAATCCTTAAAAGAATTTTGTCAACTACCATGAAAAAAATATCAAATAGTTCCTTAAGTATGAAAGTAGAGATATCTAATTTTGTGGAAGATAGTGAGTCTTTTTCCCTTGGTCGATAAGAATTTGCTTTATTAGCATGCTGCTGGGCTGTGAAATTTGGAAGTGCAGCAAATGAAATATATATTTAAACAGAATAAAAAATATGTAAATCTGAAAGCTTGCAGACTTTTATATTACACCCAAAGGTGCCTTTTTTAACATTTTGTGTGTTATCTTTCTTTATTAAATTTCATCTTCTTTGCAAGCAAACCATAAAATTTAATTCAACAGCAATATCATGGATAAAGAAACTTTGCACATAAAATATTCATGCTTGAAGATGCATTTTTTTCACAATGCGAGAAACATACCTACATTCATCCAGATTCTTTCATTATTTAATTTCTTTAAATGTAATGCAGGGCTCTAATATTTGGTGGCAACAATTTGAAACATTGATACAGTCTTTTATATTGAACTAACACAAATTCCCAAAATAAAATTGAAAGCCTTTCTGAGCTAATGCCCCTTTAGGCTAAAATAAAATTATTAAAGTGATGAGTTTATGATTTTAGAAAGAAAGCATACAAATTTTCTTAGGTATTTTATACTTCACAGAAGGCTTGCAGTATGCATATATAATGTGAAGTTGAAGATTTCTTATAAAATTCAGTGCATCCTATCTTGGTGATTATATTTCGAAGAAACTATAAAAGTAGACTGTGGTTTTAAGAACACAAATAAATATCATTATTGAACATATCTTCTTTAAGAAACGTGCTATGTCTTCAGAAGGCCAAAATTAGCTGGAATTGCTGAAGCTTGTCTTAGGGCTGGTTTTATATCTGTGCAAATTATTTTTTTACCAATGCCCAGGTTTTTTTTTTTACCATATTATTTTTCCTAGCTGCCGTTTGCTATTTCTATTCTCTACCAAAATATTTCTCCTAATTTTATATCTTTCTTGATTTTATCAACTTTTTTTTTTTTTTTTTTTTTTTTTTTTTGTAATTTTTAATTTGGCCTAAGTATTTAACTCTGAATCTTTTTAATTAAATCTTTTCTAAGCTTTTGATTGTACTGCCACCATTTATTCAGATCCATTCTATTTATGTGGTCAAATTCAACTGTAGAACCTTCTACATTATCCCTAAAAAAATGTTTGGAGTTAAAGGAATTAAATCTTTAATGCTTTTTGATATGTATGTCAAAGGACAGGACTTGATGATATTTTCATATAGCTTAGTGGTAATCTAGACTTGCCCTCTCTAAAGTACTCGTCAATATATCCTTTATAATTCTAATTAGTCTTTCCTACCATGCTGATGTAGTGGGGGGACTGAATTTCCATTTTATTTTCTGGGAAAGGTTTCAGAGTTAAATATTGTCTATAAAGTATGTATTATTCATATAAAGTTTGTATTGAAAATGTAATGTCTGGTTTTTTTCTCTGGCCTATGAATTTTTTCAGACTTTGTGTAAATGCTTCTGTGGAGAGAGCAATAACAACCTCGGTGTGTATTACCCAATAACAACATGTAAAAATCACCATGCCTTCATTGCCACAAAGGTACAAAGATGCAGTTAAATTTAAACCCATAATCTGGAAAATTGCAGATTCTGCTACTCTCTGCTAGTAATGATAACGGGGCTCGCATCAAAACTGGTTACCTCAAAATGTCGACATAAACCACATTTTTTTTATTACTTGACAAACGGCATGCTGACATTTGAGAATCTTACATGGGAATTTTCTTTGTGTTTTTCTTTGGTTAACAAGTTAATAACATGGTTAAAAGAAGAGTTATCAGAAATCTAAAACTTTTGTTGTTTTTTCCTCTGGGAGATCTTTGTTCTTGTTAGTATTAGTCCCTTCTTATCCACAAAAGGTTGCAATGGTACTGTTGTCTTTTTATCACGAGATTCAAAAACTTTTTCCTTGAATTAATTCTAAAAGAATTTCTTCTCTTTTGTATTATGCAAAAGTAATGTTATCAAACATGCAAGGACAAGAAAATCCAACTGGATCGAGTATCACAAGTTTTAAGGATAAAATTCTCCTTTTTGTTACTAATGAAGCTTCTTATACTGGAAATTTCTTTGTGTTACAGCTGAGAGTAATTTTTTTGGTACTTTTCCGTTTCGCCGGCGCAAATCTCGCCAAGCAGACTTTGTTGGCAACAACATACAGTATACACATAAAAAATGTTAATTCTAAGAATTTTTTTTTTATTTTGAAGGCATAAACATTTTAATATGGTTTAAAATTTTGTAAAAAGCCAATAAATAAAGACAATAAATTTGTAAAAAGACATTAATTTAAGAATTTACTATGATTTCATGGTTCAATATCCTGATTCGCCGGTTCGTATCACGTGACCCCAAATGATCTCATCTCACGTAAACTACGCTACTAAAATCTAATTCGCTCAGTAATTATCTACATTAATTTCAAGTTAAATCTTAATTTGGAATACAAGTTTAAATGCAAGAATTATTTCAATTCATACGAATAGCTTACTCAGAAATTATGTAAAACCGCAGTGCTTTACTTCGCTAGTGCATTCTCATTAGAATTGATGAATTTAACACTTGATTTCGCCTTCGGATGAGGTGGTGTAATTGCGTTCTAATTGACTTAGAACTAATTGACTTATTACCGTGAATTGTCTTAGGGGATAAAATTTAAATATCGTGTAAAAATTCTATATTATTGTATGCCAGTATTGAAAGAAACAATCTGATAAGAAATGGCTTCAACTTGTTTTGAAACTGAGGCGTAAAAGGTTACCAGCTAAGATATTCCGTCTGGCATCAGTTAAACCATTATTGGCGACTTTATCGTTTGCGCCGGCAAAACGGAAAAGTACCATTTTTTTTTCATCCCATATAAGGTTTAATATAGAAATACAATTTTTTGCATTTTCTTTTATTTTTAAAGAAACAATAAACAATTTCTGAGAATAAACGAGATCCCCTTTATGACCACGAATTGTGGGAAACATTCTCTCCATCTGCTAAAGCATCAAAAACTGGCCTAATTTTAGTAGTAGAAGAGTTCTTTATTTCTGGATGGTGTGGTAAATATTGTTCAACTTCATCATGCACGGGAACTTCTATAATACCTTGTAAATTCCAATCCTCAGAAACCTCTTGATAATCACTCAAGTGGCCATTAACAAGTTTATAAACTGTACACAAAAGTCTTTTTTTCAGCGAGTTGTCAACAAGTAGAAATTGGCAGATGTGTTTCTAACCATGGCAGTAATACTGTGTATCTACTATCTTTATCTCAGTTTTTTGTGAAATTTATGCCATGTAGCCGTTTGCAAGTCTTATCAATAGCATTTATTTTCCAAAGATCAGCAGGTGCACTTTCATTAATTAACAAGATTAAAACAGAGATAGTATCATCATGTGCATGTATATTTGCTAACTTTTCCATTACCATCCGTCCTAAATAAGTTTCATTTGCAGTTAATCCACATTTCAGTTTCTTTACTCTGCTGATCATCCCCAGCAGTACCTGTTTAAATAAGAAGTTGTATTTTTATAGATCACCTCAGATGATCTAGATTATTATTGTAATCACTCAGCCATATCCCTTGTCATCTAAATTCTTTCATCCATATTCTTTTCATCATACTTTTTATTATAGCATATATTTTCTTTTGGTCATTAACCTCAGAATTGCATTTAATTCCTTGCATTTTGCTTGTGATTATTTGGTCTTTTTTTATGCTGCTTAACTACTATGAACTACTGAGCAACTAAAAAGCTTCCAAAAAACTCCAAACCTTCAAAAGGTTTATGTTATGTTTAATTTTTTCTAGGTCATACACCTTTTCTGGAGCCAGTTCTTTTGCAATATTTGATCATTAAGACATAGTGTTGACAATGTTTCCAATAAGCCAAGTTTTCTCATTTCCTTGAATTTTGATCTTCAAAGTTTGCGTCAGTACTTCTGGCATATTCATTTGATTCATCAGAATATATTATATAATTTCAGCTTTTTAGTCATATTTATCCTTTTCAATTTCCCTGCAGTTAGATACGTTGGAACAAATAGACAAATAATGTGTTTTTAAACACTTTGTACATTTATCAAATTTTCTGCAATCTTTAGATAATGACCTGGAGTTGAACATATTTCTTTCTTTCACAAATTCTGTTTTCTTTGATCAAATGCCGTACTTTTAGCTAATTTGCACTGTACAAAATCATGGTTGTCATCACAAAATATAGAATTTCTTTTTTTTTAACGGTTTTCCTTTTGTTGATTCATTTTTCAAAAGTCCTGTGGCTTTCGGAATTTTACTCCGTCCTTTCTGGTCATTTCGTAAATACTTTCATTTATTTAACTTTCATTACTTTCTGCTTTAAGTTATTGTTATTTTCTCTTCACCTGCAACTTCTTTCTTCAGGAAAGTCATTAATAGTTCTAACTTATGTAATGAAATATTTTCATCAGCTGAGGCTAAGTTTCATTCCTGTATTCCCAAAATATGATGTGAGAAACAGGCTTCAGCAAAAGGATAAAGCAATAGCTACATTTTTCTGGGTTGTATTCTTCAAACTTTCTCTTGCACTCAAAGGCATTTCTGTTTTATCATATAATCTGAATACAGAAATTTTTTTTACAGAATTACAGTAAGACCCCGCTTAACGCTGTTTCGTTTAGCGCTGTTTCGGTTTAGCGCTCTTTTATTTCAACCCGGGGATTCCACGAAATCGCTCGCAGCATACGGGGATTCCCCGAAATATTATGCAGCGATAGGTTTCAAATACATATCCGAAAGAGTGTACTTGTATTTCTTGTTTGGTGCGGTATTGTACAGACATATTTTGAAGGGGTGAATGTGGAAGATGTCGAAAAATAATTCAAGAAGCAGCGGCTAGTCTTTCTAATGATGAGCTCAAGGAATTAACTGAACAAGAAGAAAACAAAAATGTTGACAGCAGTGATTCAGAAGAAGAGCAAAAAGAACTTTCGATGGCGTTTGTAAAAAGGAGTTTGTCTACCATAACTGAAATAATGGATCAATTCATTGAAAATGATCCGAATTTTGACAGGAGCTCAAAAGTAAGGCATGGTGTTAGAGATGCTCTATCCGTTTATGAAGAACTTTTAAGAGAACAACGCAACAGAAAAAGGCAAACAACATTAGATGCTTTTGTCACAAAAAGGCAGAACACTGAAAACGCGGAAGGCTAACTAAATATGACTGACTGAGAATTTTATTTGTTTTTTTTTTTAAGAATATTCATTTTGTTATTTATATTTTGTTTTTATTTTTGCAAGAAATAATAATGTGGTATTAATTTGAGCTTTAAGAAATAAATGTTTGGTTTTATTTTTATTAAAAAAACATACTTTTTAAATTTAATACCTAACCAATTTCCTAGCCATCTTCCCCTAACCCCAATATTTACATGTAAAGATAACCTCGTTTAGCGCTGTTTCGCATTACGCTCTACTTTGATGGAACGTATCCCCCGCGTTAAGTGGGGTCTTACTGTACTACTATTTTTCATTGCTAAGGAGATTAATTCCATCACAATGAATTCTACTGAAAGGTCGTTTCTTGCAAGCTTATCTTTCAAATATTCGATTGCTTTATTATAGTTTTCAGAACTAGGGGTAACTCTCTACAAGATCTCTAGCTTTAAATCCAAGTTCAGTACATTGTAGTAGATACTAATATTTATCTTGAGAAACAATTTCCTGATCTTCTTAAATTTTTCTGAATTGCCTTCAAAATCCCAGGTATTATTTTAACTCACCATTAAACTTTCTTAATTCAATTTTAGGAGGTTTAAATTTCTTTTTAACATTTTAATAGCCTCCCTTTTATCTCTAGGTAAAATTTTATTTCTTTCATTAGAGTTCTAGTTACTTTCATGTTGAAATGTATAAATTTATCATTGTATGATTCAAATGTTTCGTACCAATCAATAACTCTAGTACTTAATCATCTAAACTATTTCTTTTTTGCCGTTTATCATCAAGTTGAGTAAAGAAAGAACTATAATTTTACCTAAATCTGGCCCTTTAAAACTTTTGTGAGTTATTCACTGTATCAGACTTAAAAAGACTTAGACAAACAATCTCTAAAGCATTTAAATTCTTCCATAATTTAATTTGAATATAGTGTTGTCACTTAGTAAAGCAAATTTTTAATTAATAAATTCAACTTCAATAAATATTCATTGCAGAATCAATCATTTAGTTTGCAACAGCAATGCTGTTTTTTAAAATAAAAACTCAAAAGTCTTATATTTCATGGACCAAATAAATTTTTAATCAAAATTTTTGGTTTCCAGTTATGAATGCCATTAGTAAGTAATGAAGAAAGTATCAAAGTATTAAATTAAATTTACTCTGGGAACTACTCTGATATGCGCCCTCAAGTTGGCAAATTTCTCGCCAAACATTTTTGGCGAGAAACTTCACGCTGCCATATTACTATCTAAATTTTTTGTCTATATTTGAAACTTTAAGCCTAAAATGTCTCCAAAAACGCAGTTTTCGCACATGCAAAATCTACGTTTTGAACACACGATTCAAGCTAAAAATCCGAAACAAAAACAAAAAATTTAGATAGCAAAAACGTAAAGTTTCTAACCAAAAATATTTGACAAGAATCCATGTACACAGAGACATGTTTTAACTTAAAAAAACATCTACGAATGGTGCAATGTAGGCAACGAACGAATCTACGAACTCGCACACCTCGCTTTAATAAATTAACATAACAACAATGAATTTCAAAGAATACCATGTACACAGCATCCTGTTTAAACTTAAAAAAACATCTACGAATTGCACAATTTAGGCAAGGAACGAATCTATGAACTCGCACACCCCGCTTTAATAAATTAACATAACAACAATAAATTTCAAAGAATACCATGTACACAGCATCCTGTTTAAACTTAAAAAAACATCTACAAATTGCACAATTTAGGCAAGGAACGAATTTATGATCTACGCACACCTCGCTTTAATAAAATAACATAATAACAATAAATTTCAAATAATACCATGTACACAGCGTTCTGTTTCAAAAACAACAATAACGACAGAAATTCGTACTAAATAACCAATGAACATAACATTCTACAAAATAAGAACAAGAATAAAATAAAATGCACTTACCATAAATTAATGCTTCTTCGAGCAGCAGATATACTAATTTTATACTGCCTTTAACATGCCGCCACGTAATCACTATCGTACACACTCCAGAAAATTCATACTATGGTTCACAAATAAATAAAATCACAAATCCCTACTTCAATCATGCACAGCCATTAAAAATAATCTCCCAGAACCTCTTTCCACACCTCCAAATACCCACTACCCCTCAACAGGATGGCCACAATGATATTTCCTTTTGCCGAACTTCAATTCAACAACTTCTACCATTTTATCTTTCCCTCCCATCTTCTCAGACGCGAATCAACGAGCTCCAGCGAAAGATTGTTCAACGTCAACAGGGTTGCCATTGAAAACGCAATTGTGCCAATAACCAGCGCAGAACATATATTGCCACATTTGGTGAAATTAGGACGTATATCAGAGTTGTACCTTACTCTGTACTTATGTTCAAATGAGGTATCTAGTAATTCCTCATCAGAATTAATATGTAGTAGCTGTTAGAACAAAGAACAACAAAACATGTACATCAGTCATGGATTCCAGTGTATTTTATTTAGTTAATTTCAATTTCATAACATAATCAGTGCATTTTTTCCTTACTTCATCAATTGCATGTATACATACAGATATTAATTCATTATATCACATATATTGTCATATATTTATTTGTTTTTTAGAGCAATTTTAGAATTGCTGCTGTAGGATCTGTAACAGAAGTAAATAAGATGACAGATATTGTAAAAAAACTTAAACTTATTGGAAGACCATGTGAAATTTTCAAGAAGACAGCTTTTATTGAGGTAAATTTTCATATATATGTGCATCTCTGGTTGCTGTTTTTTCTATGTGGTGCATACATTAGGACAATATCATATATTACGGTTGCTATTTTTTTCTGTATGGTACATAAATTAGAATAATATCATATCATAGAAAATACCTTCTAAATTAATATTTAGTAATTATCTTCAATTTTGGTCTGGTGTGTTTATAAAAATCATTGTTCTGAAAGTTATTACATGTTTTGATAGATATAGCTTAAAAATAATCGTAAACTTTTAGATGTAAATTTATTTACAATTATATATGTGCAATAATTTTTATTGAATGTTCTTAAAACAATACCATAAACACTTTTCCTTATATTTTTATTGGAAACAAGAGTACAGGAACCTACCTAAAATTAGATAGAATTTTATAATTATTGTACTTTCAGTGTTATTTGTTAGAGTAATATAATAATAAAGTTTTATTGATAATAGAATGATAGTAGTAGAATAGTAGTATTTTGTTAGAATAATGAAAATTTATAATCATTTTGCTTCTATTTTTTGGTTATATTTCTGGCCTTCTTGAAATGTAATATGATGAATAAATGTGTTAGTTAATACAAATATGAAAATTCATTTTCCTTTTGCATGTGTTTGTAGCATGAAGTAGCATAATGATAGTTTATTTAGGTTTTATGAGCTGGTTTTCTCTTTTTCTTGCAATTCATAAATAACTAAATGCTTGTATTCGTTTTTAGGGTATGTTCCATTCAGCTCTAGAGGTGGCAAAATATGAAGGTGCTGCTATAAGAACAGTTAGTGGCATCAGAGGACAGATCAAAAAAGCATTAAGGGTAATGATTATTCTTAACTAGCCAATAAAAACAACAAATATGTTATGCATGTAAAGTTTTTTAAAGGATTGCTAAAAGTGGAATTTTTAAAATTTAATGAATTTTGAAATTGTTTATGGCTTTTAAAATTTGGACTTCTCCAAGGAGGACTTGAAATTTTAAAAGAAGGGGTTAAATCAGTGTGAAATACATTTTAATTCTGTTTTAATTGAATATTCATTCATCATCATATTATAGACAAATGAATATTATAAATATATATTTATTGTAGATTTATGAAAAATATTTGCTTTGTGTGTATGTGATAATTGCATCATGTGACAGTGTAGAAATTTAGTCAACAATGTACAATCAACTTCATTATAGCAAAACTGTATATGCTGACTTGTTTCATTCACAATTTTCAAAGTTCTCTAAAACTGAAGTGTCTTTTCTTAACCATAGCTGAATGGAACATTGAAAAAGAAAGTAGGATATTCAAACAATAATGTGTACATAAATTATGTTCATAAAACTAATAATATGTACATAAAGTATATTTATAAAATTAAGTAAATAAAATCAATATTATATGACTCATTTAGCATAAAAATAATCTGACATGCACTAATATTTTCTGCAATTTTTTTCACAATTAACATATTCTCTAAGTCTTTTTTTTTTTTTTTTTTTCCCTGTATACAATTCTACATTTTCTAGTACCCCTGAGAACTTTGCTCAATCTTGATATCATCCAATGCTTCTTTCATTTTTTGAACATAAATCCTTGGCGATTCCAGTTTCAGTCATTGAGATATTATTTCTTAATTCACAATCATTGTTTCTCCATTATTCTTTTCAATTGTTGTGTTTTTCCTTTTCTTCCATCAGTTCAGTTGCCATTCTGAATGTGCAAATTCTTAGTTGTTGTCCAATAACTTAGCTAGCTGCTCAGCTTTGTTTCCAGGCTCATTAAGGAAAACTTCTGAAGTGTTCAACTAACTTTTGAATTATAGTTGAATAAAATTGAACAACTATTGAAATAGTTCAACTAACATTTTCTCTATTGTATTATTAAAATATTTTTACATAATTTTTATTTGCATTGAACTGAACATGGCAGAATTTTCTCCTTGTTTTTCAAGATATTACATGCAGTTGATTAACTTAAGCTCTACTTTTGATACACCTCTGGTTGCAGAAGACCATGTTCAGTATTGCTGAAGATCTGCCTTAGTACTTAATGTTGTGATATTTTAATTGTTCAAAATATAAAATTAAGATGGAAAAGGTAAGATGGGAAAGGTACTCATCAGCTCTTGCACCCCTTCCTGCATCCAGAGTAAATTATTTACTTCAAGCAGAGTGATTTCCATTGAAAGTTGGTACTTTCTGATGATTGACAACTTTTTCCCATTTTTTGTCCCTGTCTATTCTCTTTTGTTGTTTAAATGAGCATCTAACAGATGTTTGCATATGTAAAATCAAACTTAATAGATATGCAAGAATCTTGTCAACCTTTTTTTTTTTTTAAAGTTTTGAAGGTTTATGGATTTGAAGACTTACGTTTAAAACCTTCACTAGATCTGAGCATCATGTTCATAGCATGAGCAAATGTCAAAAATAACTGCATTTTTGCTTTGTTATGATGCCATTTGGAGTATTTAACTTACTAATGATTAAGTTTCATTAGTAATTCAAATAATCATAAGTACTGAACCACCTGCAGCTTAATAATATGTTCGCTTATTAAATTCACATTTTATTAATAGTATATTTTATGAAAATGGCAAATTTTATTTATATTTTTGTATTTTTTTAAAATCTGTTTATTGTATTGAGGAAAATCTATTGATCTTTTATAGCTGCATGATTTTATGTGATTAGGTTTTAAAGAGCATATTTTATCAAATAAATTATAACAGTTATTACAGAATTTTCATTGTATTGATTTCTTTCATTTATATTTTGAATTGTTTTATAGTTTTGTGGATTTGGTATTAAATTAAATAGCCATTTAAATTACTTGAGCTGTAGAGCAGGTATGTTTACATTTTTATTACATAACGTAATTTTTTTTTAACATTCCATTTTAGATACCTCCTGGGGTCTTTCGTGCTACTTTTGAAGATAAAATTATCAAAAGTGGTAAGCGCATATTTTTTTTAGAAATTACATTTTTCACATCTGAATAATTTTAGAATACATTTTAGTTGATTCTGAGATTAGATGCATAATATTTAAAATATATTTAGATATTGTATTCCTACGTACTTGGGTGAAAGTCATAGTACCTCAGTTCTGCATTACTGTAACATCTCTGCTTTTGCCTCCTGATCAGAAGGCAAAGTGGCAAGGAGCAAGAACTATTGGTCGACTGCGTTATGAGAAAGGGCTCCATGCTCCTGTTAATGAAGATTCACAATATACTGTAAGTGTTTTTTTTTTTTTCTGAGTTTTGTTACAATTTTGATTAATTCATAAAAATCTTTTATTGTAACTTTAGGGGGGGACCAGCTTATTTTGAAACTGAAAATTAAAAAAAATATATATCTGAAAGGTTTCAGATTTTAAATTACGTCTAATGGAGCGTTTTTGTAACGTTTTGTGTGTTACCTTTATTTATTAATTATCATATTCTTTGCACTTAAACCATAAAATTCAGTTCAACAGAAATGTCGCAAAATAATTTTAAAATGAGCATATCTTTAGAATTTCCAATACACAGTTCCGCATGCTGGAGACAAAAAGGTTTTTTTTTTTTTTTCCTCTCCTGTAGAAATGTTGCCATTGCTCGCTCTTAAATCATTGAGCTTGTTAATAACAAATTTGTTAAAGTTTTACAAAATACGAAATAGATAATAAAACAAATTCCATGTTCCGAATTTGGGCTTTCGGATGCCCATATTCACAGTAGGATTACGTCATTCAAAATTGGATTGCTCTAGGTACCGTTGTTTTATCACAACACGAGAAACATACAGACATTTATGCAGACTCTTCATTATTTAATTTCTTCAAATATAATGCAGGACTCTAGCATTTGGTGGCAACAATTTGAAAAGTGATACGCCATTTATAGTGATTCAATGCAAAATCGCAAAATGAAAATAGTTCTTCAGGGACAAAGCCCCTTTATACTAAAAAACATTTTTGTAATAGTAGCCTTCCTCCTATTTCTTTCTTTTCCTTGTGTGTGTGCATTCATTTAAATAATTATATTTAATAATAATGTGTAATTACCTACTTGTTTATCTTCTGATGTTGCAGCTGAAGTAAATGTAGGAACTTCACAGGAGAAGGGTTTAAAAAAAAAACCTTTATTAAACTCTTATTAAAATCCACAGTGTGCCAAATTAACACTAACACACTATGCCTCACTCGAGCGGTAACTTCTATAACAAGAACTGTACTAAAATTCAAAGATATTAACAAGCAGTAGAATTACTCTACAGGGCTCATATAATCCTGTTACCTGAAACCGCATTGAAATCTAGTGGCAGCAAAGTAATAGCTGTTAAGCCACATTAACGAGCAGTAAATGCAGAACCAGAAGCTCACGCTACAAACTATCTGATTTTCCCTTCTAGAGCTCTGTATTTAAATCTTTTTTCCTCAAGTTAGAATTTGCGTACCTTCACACACGCTAGCAAATTTAAATATTTTGTCATTGACAATTAGGGGAATGAAGGCTTATAGAAAAGAAAATATAACTTGACCTTTAACTGATTAGTGAAAATAAATATAAATCCTTACAAATGGTTGTATTTTCTGTGCTTTGTTTATTTTGTCTGATGGTTAAAACAATTTTAAAAATCAGTTTCTTCAAAGTGCATAATGCTGTTCATGCTTAGAATGCTTAAGAGAAAATTGAAAAAGAATATATTTATTACTATATTTTTAGAATAAGAAAGTTATAAACTGCATATTCCATACATGAAATATATTTTTATTTAATTCCTTACATAAATTAGTTTTGCTAAATTATTATTTGTGATTTTACTTTAAAGGAATAACAGTTGAAATTCAATTTGTTCACATGGTGGTAGAACTGCTAGCTGCTATGCCTTGGGTCTTGTTCAAAATCCCAGAAAATGCATAGCTGTTCATTTGTGTGTAATATCTTTGTGGCACGAGGGCACTTAAAATATTGTCAAGTTGAAAGTCCTTTCGAGAGGTGGGTGGTAGGATGAACATTAGTTTGAGACTATTGAGGGTTCATCATCAAAATTGGAATGGATAAGTCCAGTGGTAGAGCATAACAGCTGGTGTGCTAAACCCCAATAGACTGTTTGCTCCTTTTCAGTGCAAAAGTATAACAATATATCTTAGTTGTTTTTCAGTCTCATTATTTACTTTTATAAATATCTGAAGTTTTTATTAAGCATTTCACTAAAACAAAGGAATTACATTGTACTGTTTAAGTAGGAAGTTAACATTTAAAAAAGTGAATTATATTTTATAATATTTTTAATCTATTTTAATTACAAGTGTTATTGCTCTATTTCTGGAATGCATATTTATATTAAAAAATATTTTGTACAGCCCATCGAAAGAAAACTGAAGCAGTTTGCACCTTTGGTGGTTCCCAAGAACTTGCAGAAAGCTTTACCATTTAAGGATAAAATTGTACATAAACCAAAGAAACAGCAAGATCCAGAGAATGAAAGGGTGGCTGTTATCAAAGAACCTCATGAAAGAGAAGTAAGACATTTATTTTGTTGTTGTTTACCACTCTGTATTTCCTCTATTTAAAGATCCAAACTAATGAGCAAAAATGTGGTGGGGAAACATCTAAATTTTTTTTTTTTGTTTTGTTGTTGTTTTAAAAATGCTCTTCAAAAGTAGATTATATTTCATTTATTACCTAAGTAGATTCAAATAATATAGCGTTTTTGAGTAAAAAATAAAAGTGTTAAGAGTTAAAAAAAATTTTCTCATAATATGCATACAGATTTAATTTTTAATAATTTTTGGGTGGGGGCTATGAAAGTATTAAAATGTACACATGTACTATTTTTATATGAAATTTAATTTTATCCATTTAGCAAATATGGTAAACTAACAGTTAATACTTTTCACCGCTCTTCCCCTCCCTCTCCCCAAAGTAATATATGTGCTGTAAAAGCGCAACTATTTGGCATTCAATTAACTGGAAAGTTCCAATAACCAGAATGCTGTAGAATTTTAGAAAAATCCCTCCCTCCAAAAAATTAAGTATATGTGAGATTTGTGAAGCCACTATAAAGCATAATAAGGCATAATCACCAAACAGTGTGATTCAGCACCAATAATGAAAGCATAATATCACAGCACAGTCCTAAGATCTTTGCACTGATTTGTGTAAAACTGTTTAATTCTCAATAAGTCACTTTAATTTTTTATAAAGAAGGATATAAGTAAACTGATATTTGTCTACTTTTCTCTTGCATTTTAAAGAATGATAAAATTTGGGACATGTCTTCTGTGGGATAGCATGCAGTGGAGTATATTCAAAGATGTGGGATCATAGTGTAGTGTTTCTCCCTTTTATTTATTAACTAAGTGTGTACGAACCTAGTGATCTGCTAAGGAATAATCACTTAACCCTTATATATACCGGATGTTTGTCAATTTTTTAACCTCCTAACAATTGCTAATTTTACTGCACCAAAAGCTGCAATCGCAAGTTTCTAGTGTTTTCTTTTGATTCTAAGTGGGAGTATTACCCAATGAATGCTCAATGTTTTGCTGTTATGAAATTAATATACTTTGCTCCAAGGTATCATGTCTGAAGATTCATAAATTCTATTGGAGGGGCAGAAAACATTCAAAATCAGCAAATATACGTAGCGTATTCGGAAACTACGTACTGTTTCATTCGAGCGCCGTCGCAGCGCTGTGGTAGGCGTCCCGTGCATGCACACTAGTCTTTCTTGTTCACCGACTTTCAATTGTCGCCATTTTGGTAGCTCTGTGTTGTATTTTCAGTTTGCTGTGCACATTCAAAATGTTTAAGACAATTAGTTCTCCCGCTGACTGTGAGATTCGTGCCGTGATTAAATTTTTGAACGCGAGAAATGTTAAACCGGCCAAAATTTATCGTCAAGTGACAGAAGTTTACGGTAAATACGCGATAAGTGATGGAATGGTGAGAAAGTGGGTAAGAATGTTCAATGCAGGTCGAACAAATGTCCATGTCGAGGCTCGGAGTGGTCGGCCTTCTGTTGTCACCGATGATTTGGTAAGGAAAGTTGATGAAGCAATTCATGAGAACAGACGCTTCACAATGACAACTCTTTCAGATGCATTTCCACAAATTTCACGTACTGTTTTGTTCAAAACCGCTTGAATTATCGCAAACTGTGTTCCCGATGGGTTCCAAAAATGCTCACTGATGTTCAGAAAACAAAGCGACTTGGTAGTGCCCTGACATTTCTCACGCGGTACAGTGATGAGGGAGAAAACTTTTTAAACCAAATTGTGACAGGTGATGAAACTTGGGTGTGTCATTTCACACCAGAATCGAAACAACAATCGATGGAGTGGAGACACACTCATTCTCCGAAAAAAACAAAAGTTCAAAGTGACAATGTCATCACAAAAAATCATGTGCACTGTCTTCTGGGATAGGAAAGGCGTTTTGCTTACTGAATTTCTTCGCAGAGGTGAAACCATTAATGCGGCACGATATTGTGAGACTTTAACAAAACTAAGGCGTGCCATTCAAAACAAACGAAGAGGAATGCTCAGTAAAGGAATTGTGTTCCTCCGTGACAATGCTCGGCCCCATGCTGCTGGTGTCGCTCAATCGTTAATTTGACAGTTTCATTGGGAGCAGTTCGATCATCCGCCGTACAGCCCGGACTTGGCGCCGTCCGACTATCACTTGTTCCTGCACATGAAGCGCGAGCTTGGTGGCAAGCGCTTTGGATCTGACGATAACACGAAAAATGCTGTGGAGTCGTAGTTATCGAAACTGGCGGGAAGTTTCTGTGACGATGGTATACAAAAACTGGTCAACCGATATGACAAGTGCTTGATCATTGGCGGAAACTATGTTGAAAAATAGTTTAAGACATGTATTTTCATGTGAAAATAAAATTGGATTCGAAAAAATTGTTTTATAATTTTTTTTTTTTTTCAAACGGTACTTAGTTTCTGAATATGCCTCGTATAATACGTACACATGCTGAAGCTTATATATTTACTGCATTTCAGTCAGCACTGATAATTAAAAGAGGATTATTTATACAATTTTAAGACCGGTATATAAAATATACCGCCGACCACACTGAGGCCAATAGATGGCAGCACAAGGCTTCTGCTTTTCTACTCCATGAGATGACAGAATTTCTTTATACTATAATTGTTTGTGATGTAATATTTTGTCTATGATTAATTTACGTGTTGTTTAGGATTCAGTATTATGTTCATGGGGGATGGGGATTTTACTGACTCTGTGCTAAGAATGAATATAAGTATTGTAGTTCCTTTTTATTCTTGTCTTATAACTCCTGTTGTGTTTCTCATTCATCTCTGTTTAGCTAAATTTTTAATTTCACCACTTCACTGTTTTTTTTTATGAAGACTCATCGATTTCAAAATTGACGTCTACCTTCTAAACATTACACAATTGCAGGGGTTAAATGTGGCATGTTAGCCCCTAAAGACACCAGTCGCTTCGTGTTTTTCAAAATCCTAGAATGCAGTGAAAATGATAAGAAGTGATCGACAGCTAATTTGTCTTGCGATCTTCACTAAGATCACACAAAAGTAAAGCTCACTTACAGACATGAGAATAAGAAATGTATTAGGGTGAGTCAAATGAAAGTGAGCCAACCCCTCCTCAGCAAGATGGGTTCGGTCCATCATCTGCGGTGCATGCGCGTAGCACAGAGACAGCCTTCATTTACGAAAGTGGCGCGAAAGTGTGAGGTTAAAGTTCTTTAAGGCGCTCTTACACTGGGTTGAAGACAGTAGCGTGACATAATGGACCCTCCAAAAGAGGAACAGCGTGATGTGGTCAGGTTTTTGACAGCTGAAGGTGTTTCCCAACATGAAATTAGTCGCCGTATGACTGCTTGTACGGTGAACATCGCATCGCATTGGCCACTGTGAAGCGTTGGAGCAAACGGTTCAGAGAAGGACGTGAAAGTTGCAAAGACGATCCAAGACCGAGCCAAAGCCACCTTGCAATCACCCCCGACACAATTGCGCAGGTTGATGAGCTGATTAGACAAGAACGGAGGATAAGCGTCGATGAACTGGCAGAGCGTGTGAACATCAGTCACGGTTCGGTTCACACCATAATTCATGATCATCTCGGTTATCGGCTTTTGTGTGCTCAATGTATGCCCAAGATTTTGAACGACCGCCAGAAGACGGAGAGGTTCGGCGCTGCTTTGACTCATTTCATATGGTATCACAATGAGGGTGACGACTTCTTGTCTGCAATTGTGACCGGAGACGAATCATGGTGCCACCACTACGAACCTGAAACACGCCGGCAAAGCTTACAGTGGAAACATTTGAATTCACCACGCCCCAAGAAAGCAAAGGCTGTCATTTCCTCGGGAAAGGTGCTTTTTTCCGATCGTCAGGGGCCATTACTGATTGAATTTGCGTGGAGAGACTATCAATAGTTCGCGATATTGTGCAACGCTGGATCGGCTGCGTGTCGCAATCAAGAACAAACGACCTGGAAGATTGACGAATGGTGTGATCTTGTTACACGACAATGCTCGTCCCCCCGTCGCTGATGTGGTTAAGACACAACTGGCAAAGTTCAAGTGGGACACGCTGCAACATCCTCCATACAGCCCAGATTTGTCGCCATGTGACTTTCACATTTTCGGGAAACTGAAAAAACATCTCAAGGGTACCAGATTCGTGTCGGACGACGCCGTGAAGGAGTCGGTTACAGACTTTTTGAATCGACAGCCCAAGGAGTTTTATGAGACGGGGATCACACGGCTCATTTGTCAATGGGATAAATGTCTCAATGTTCATGGAGACTACCTTTAAATAAAGTACTCTGTTTGTCATATATTCGCATTGGCTCACTTTCATTTGACTCGCCCTTATACTTTGGGTCCGTCTCTTAGTGGAATGGAAAACCTGATGATTTGAAAGTATGCTTTTATTCTTGAGGATATTGTCTTTGTTAATTTCAGATGAGAAACTAAGGAACACAAGAGAAATTTTCCCCCTGGGTTAGGATGCAAGTACGTGGTTTTCGAAATAAGTGTTCACAGTTGGTGAAAGGAGGGAAAATATTTAAGGCCAGTTTTAGATGCAAAGCCTTTGGAAGGAATAACATGAGGCCAAATGTTTATTTACTTATTTATTTTTTCAATTTTGATGAAGCATGCCCTTTTTGTATATTATCTAAAGTAGGGGTCTTCAACCTTTCGTGCCCGAGGGCCACATCAATAAATTCACAAAGATCTGTGGGCCACATGTCTGTCAAAAAATAATGAAGTCAGAAAATTTCAATGAAAAAGTGAAGTTCATTTTGTAAGACTACAGTTGATTCTAAGTGAAGAGATAGTGTTACAAATTTATATATATATACATTGATTCCAAAAAGTTGAATGGAAATCGAATTAAAATGTTTTGCAGCTTTTTTAACTATGAAAAATGTATAAAGATGATTGATTGTACAGAACAATGTTACAAAATGCATTTACAATAAAAAAAAGGGAAAAAAAAAACTTACATTACTGGTGGGAGATAGTAATTACTTTAATTTGAATGTGAAATTTGACATTGCTTTTGCTTGATTAAATCTTCAATATCTGGTTTAATCTGTGTTGTTGCAATTCGGAAAGTTTCCTCGAAATGTCTGTCTGTCAGCCGTGTTCTTGTTATTGATTTTAAGAGTTTTCATTTTACTAAAAAGCTGTTCACATATGTAGGTACTGCCAAAGATAGAAGACATGGAGAGTGCATGTTTACGAATTCCTGGATACTTGTCTTTGGTCACGTACTTCGAATAAAAATCAATTAATGTAGGATTTTCAAGAAGTTTGCATTTTACTGCAGAATCACACTGTAAATCTGTAAATTCTAATTGAAGTTAAGGTGATTTCCAACGTCAGTGTAGCTGTTGTGAATTGTGACTTCTAATGTCTACTGAAAATGGCGAGGGAGAACATTCTCATAAAAATTTCATTTTCACGAATATCGGAAAATCTTATTTTGAATTCCTCTTTCAAATTTGAAATGCATTGTACATAATTATTTGAATTCGATGTTTTAGAGTTCTCCAAACACTCCATCAATTTTGGAAAGTGACTGGAATTCTTATTTAGCAACTGACTTTTCTACAGGATTAATTTAGTCTCAAAAGCTTTCACAAAGAAATAAAGATTATGAACAAGTAGATCTTTTTCCAGTAAGCAATAGTTCAAATCATTGAGATAACCTGTAATATCGACAAGAAATGCAAAGTCTCTCAACTATTTCTCATCACTAAATTCATGAACAGATTTTCCTTTAGATTCCATTAATTGTTGAACTTCACTCTTCAAAGAAAGCAGGTGCTGATCTTCCCTCGGCTCAACCAACATACACAACATTACCATATTCAGCTTCCAAATCACTCAAGAACTGTTGAAAACGCCTGTAATTAATTCCTTTAGACCGAATGAAATTAACCAATTTTAGAACAGCATTCATCACATGTTAAAAGTTTGAGAACGATTTCTTGCACGAATTTCTATGATGCAGTGAAAAGTCATCATAGTATTATTCTCACTTGCCTTCACATCAGATTTGAGTAATGTTGTTACTCCTGTTTTCTCTCCAATCATAGATTTAGCACCATCTGTGGTTATAGCAGATATATTACTGAAGTCTAACTCACATTTATTCAAAGTTTGTGTCAAGACTCGAATACGAATCTGTTCCTCGTATTGTACCTTTAAGTGCAATGACACTGGCTAGTTCCTCTATCACTGTGAAGTCTCTATCAATGTCACAAATAAAAATGGCTATTTGCAGAGTATCTGTTGCATATGTGTATTCATCCATTGCTACAGAATAAAATTCAATTTTTTTGCAATTGGATTTTAATTTAATTTATATCTGCTGCCAGATTCTCTATCCATCTCGCTACTGTCACACCAGAGAAGCTAATATTCGATATGACTTGAACCTGTGATGAGAAAGCACATCAACTGCACTCTGAAGACATTCTTGTACAAATTCTTCATCAGCAAAGGGTTTTCCACGCTCAGCAATTTTTTCTGCTATCATGTAACTAACGCAAACACTTTTTTCAGATTCTTTATTCGCTGTGGTGAAGAAAGACTGCTGAAAATTTAATTTTGATTTGAATTCACTCACCTTATTACTTCCAAAATGACCTTCCAATGCAGAATATTTCTCACTGTGCTTAGTATCATAATTTCTCTTAATGTTGTATTCCTTCTTCACAGCTATACTGTCGTTGCAAGTAAGGCAAACTGCCTTACCTTTATGTACAACATAAAAAAATAAAGATATGACCTTTTTTCTTGAAAAAAATGCACTTTTCCTTCAATTTTTCTTTTTCTTTCTTTCTTCTTTTTATTATTATTTTTATTTATTTATTTATTTATTTATTTTATTATCATCATGGCTTGCCAATGTGTACTTATTCAAAGACCATAAATGCTTCTGAATTTTAAATCAATCTTAAAATCAACTGTAGAAAATCTGCTTATCACCAAATCAAACAGGATGTTTATGATCACTGATCGGTTTGATAAGTAATTGCAACATTAATAGATATAGAATTCTGTTAATTTATTGTCCCCTCTATAGTAGTGGCATGCTCAAGGTCACCTTTGGCGAAATAGAAATATTGACGAAAGATTGACATCTGTTGGAAACCTGTTAGAAATAAGAATCTACCCTTTTTTTATGGAATTGAGATTTTATACATAGTCGGTATTTTTATTTTTAAAATTACATAAGATAAAGTGAAATTTTTGCAAAAATTCATCATTTTCAGAAACTTTTATCTCAAATAATATCAGGCATGTCAATAAAATGTTTTAAATATCAAGAATAAGAAAAAAACCCAGTTTTTTTATGAAAAAAAGCTGGCAAGGCAATTTTGCTTTAAATCGAAATTTCTTAAAATTCTTCAATTTTTCTTCAAATTCAATTGTAGGGCCACCAAAATGCCTTCAGCAGGCCATGGGTTGAAGACCCCTAATCTAAAGTATAAAATATAATAACTTCAAAAATGCAACAGAGCTTTCCATCTGAGTAATAGTGCTTCATTTTTAATTTTTTCCCCCTGATTTACATCAATCACCTCACATTGTAATAGTTCAATTACAGCATGATATGCTTTACGCATGCAGTGTTATATTTGCTAATTTTTTTCATAAAATAATAATATTGAATTTAAATCACTTTCAAAAGCTTTTTACCCATATTTTACATCACTCTGTTCACCTGGGTGGCATCATCAAAGTGCACATAAACATACATTTTATTTTCAAAATTTTAAATTTCTAGCTAAATTTTAAAAGTTTTTAGCTTCAGACTTGCATAACTATACTGAAAAAAAAAAAAAAAAAAAACAAAAAAAAAAAAAAAACAAAAAAAAAAAAAAAAAAAAAAAAAAAAAAAAAAAAAAAAAAAAAAAAAGATTTAATTTCTAATTTTGTGTTTCTAGAGTCCTTAAGTTATAATTTATGCAAAATTTTACCACAATTTAAATTATTTTATATACTGCCCCTCAAAGGTTTAAGTCCAGAAACAGAAATGTGAAATTCAAGAAGGGTTAATTACCTTTTATTGCACTAACTAAAAGGTGTACAGTTGGTCCCTTCCTCAGGACATACAACAAAGCCTTCACTTGGGCTTAAACTCAAAAATATAAGAAATAAGAACATAACTAATGGCTAACTAAATAGATTTAGCCGAAGCTGACACAATTCTAACTAGTTGGCCCCTAAATATTGAATTAGCTAGTGAAGCTATCAAGGGCCCGTAATACGGCTGAGCGTAGTAACAGCTTAGAGAGACGTGGTCAAAAGGCAAAACGTGCACTAGTCAGAAACTCTGATTCCCTCTCTCAGTGGAACTTCGACTTAAATACTACTCCTTCTCATTTGCATTAAACATGACTCTAAAAACACATTCTGGTAAGAAATTTATAAGCTGAAATTAGGAGATAGGAAAGGAGCATAAAAAATAGCTGTTAGAATAAATCTTACTATGGGATCAGTAAAAATGGTTATTAATAGGCATGATATGCAATTTTATTTGAAAGTGGAATAATAGTGCCAAACAAAATGTAGCAACAAAAATTATGCTAAATGATTTTGGTTTTTTATATGCGATATCTGTGGTTTGTATCTGTTGATTATTCAACTTAACAAAGAATGTTTTAAAATGAGACAAAATATTTTAGGTTGACATGTAGAAACCATATTTAAACATAAATAAATGTAGGAACTTGAACAATGTAGGAACTTAAACAAATGACCTGTTTGCTTTATTAGCTAGAGTGGAATGGTCAGGTTGATCAGGGCAGTCTTCTTGTGTTGCTTTATGCAGGACTGCTGTACTCAGAATTAAGTCCAGATGTATGGATGGTTGAAGGGAAGGTCTGTGTTATTACACAGTTTGATCAAACCATCCATTCTACCTCCAGCTAACAAATCAATGTCATCTGCAGAAGCTCTGACTTAAGTTTAAACATGCTATTAGCATATCAACCTTTATCTCATTGTTAATTTCATTTTAACTGTCTGTGCCATTTAATTCTTCAATATGAGCAGAGAATGATCCATTTCTTTAAATCTCTGCTGTAATGATTGACAAAGTCTCCAGTGACTTTCATGGTTAACAGGATTTTGTACTTTTTATATGCCCAACTGTCTGGAATTTTCACATATCTGTTATTAGGCATTTTATAAGCTTTCTAGATAGTTGAGTTGTAACTTCACATTTAAGCTTTTATATTATTTTATATTGCACATATTTCATACTAAACTTTAAAGAAATTAAAATGTTTTTTTGCTTTTCAGATATCTAAAGTCTTAAGTATGTTAAAGACTGTACATAAAATGAAAATGAAAAAGGAGAATAAAGCAATGTGGCTGAGAGCTAGAGCACACCGTAAAGAAAAGCGTGCAAATGAAGCCATTCACCACCAAAAAGTCCAGCAAATGAAAAAGCGAATTCTTCGAAAGAAGCACATTAAGGCACCGGATATGCAGTAATTTGTACATATGAATAAAGATTATTTATATATTTTTATATAGAAAATGTCTAATTTTTTGTGTTATTGCAGAAAAAAAAATCTTGCCCAAATTTCATTTAATTTCTGTAGTTACCTTTGGAATAGAGGTTAGAAGAATAATTTCATGGATAATCATGGAATTACAAAAACATCAGAGTTAGGGATGAGATTCAAGAATTCAGTATCACTTTTTGAAAGTTAAGTTTTGACATACCATTTGTAGACTGCTGTGTATATTTGAATGAATACTGTTAAATTCTGTGTGCTAATTTGTGATATTACCATTGACCTATATGAGGTTTGACTCATTCAAATTTAACTTTACTGTGACTTGAAGAATAAATTAATCTTACCCTTTTAGCTTTTCAATAATACTTAATGCTTGTTTCAGCCTTGCTCATTTTTTATTTTTCTCTCCTTTTATTAAGTTTTGAAATTCTTTGAAGAAGAAATTTAGACTAATTACATTTACATTACTTCACAGCCATTCTTTTTATTGCAAATTAAAATAATGTCTTTTAAAATTTTAAATAATTTTTTTATCCATATTTAAAAAAAATAGCAATTTAATCGTTAATTCAATATGTAAATAGAGATAATATAATGGGTGATTCTGAAGCAAAGAATATATATTACAGTGGCAATAAAGATAAACATTATTGTTACTGTGATATGATGTAAGAGAAATGATGTGTAAGTATAAGGTAAGTGATGAATATAACAAAAACGTCTGAAATAACTAATGGAAATAACAAAGAAAATTAAAATTTTTATGTGCCTCTTAATTTTAAAATAGCTCTTACTGGAATTATATAAATACAGTCAAAAGTCGTTAATCCGGACTCGTCGGGACTTAGGCGATTCCGGATTATCGATTTTTCCGGATTATAGATCATCAGTTTAAATCTGGTAAGATGGCATGCAGAAATTACAAAATTAAAAATATGAAACCATAATTTATGAAATAAAGAACAATTATGATCTAAATGGTATCAAAATTTACAAAAAAAGCTTAATATTTATTTGTTTCCTTTATTAAATATTTTTTTCAATGTAAGCTGTTTAAGTTGCTTTGTTTTATGTGAAATACTTTCTCTTTTATTCTATAAACAGACATAATTTCTTGTTCAATTACA